TAGGGTTAATAGATTTAAACAAATAAGATTAAAGTAGAATGAGTGCAGAAAATAATGGAATTGTTAGACATGTCCTTTTAAGTACTGGAGATGCTACAAATTCAATTTGGGATCCTTGACTCTTGTGTCAAAAAAGTGTCCGGATTTTTGCAGCCACCATTGATTGGGAGTTGGGAGGTCAAATACAAGTGATTTTGTTTTTATTAATGAGGACACAGTGAAATCCCATTTCAAAATAAACAGTGAACAGGAAAGATGGTTCACATATATCAGTGGTTACCAACATGTGGTCCATGGACCACCAGTGGTTCCCAAGAATGAAACTATGGTCTGCGACCTCACCATTACTACACTGTTATCTCAAAACCACCTTCTTATAGTGCTGAGGCAATGGGGATGTAGGGAGGGGAGAGGCTGACTACCTACAAAAGATTACTACTACCACATCAAGTATAGATTATTAAATATTGTTTTCTGAAGAAGAGCAGATAGTGACTACTGGATGGCATGTGTTCTGTATCAGAAACTAGAGCTAATGTGATCTATCCGATGCAATTGGTTAAGTGGTTCCTGGTCAAGTGGTCCCTGGTCAAGTGATCCCTAGTCTAGTGACCCCTGATCAAGTGGTTCCTGGTCAAGTGGTCCCTGGGCAAAGTGGTCCCTGGTCAAGTGGTCCCTGGGCAAAGTGGTCCCTGGTCAAAGAAAGGTTGGGAACCACTGATACATATCGAGGGCTTAACAACGTTTAATTGTTCCCTGTGGTTACTTTTTCAGGATATTTGAAGAACTATACAGAGGGGATTTTATTTCAAGTTTTATGCCATTAACTTTTTAATATGTATTTTTGTAATGTAAAAAAGAGCCAAATAAACTAAACACAACAATTGTAATTCATTCGTTCAGTCGTTTCCGACTCTTTGTGACCACATGGACCAGTCCACGCCAGAGCTCCCTGTCGGTCGTCACTACCTTCAAGGTCAATCCAGTCACTTCAAGGATGCCATCCATCCATCTTGCCCTTGGTTGGCCCCTCTTCCTTTTTCCTTCCATTTTCCCCAGCACAATTGTCTTCTCTAAGCTTTCCTTTCTTCTCATGATGTGGCCAAAGTACTTCATCTTGGCCTCAACTATTCTTCCCTCCAGTGATCAGTCAGGCTTTATTTCTTGAGGTATGGACTGGTTGGACCTTCTCACAGTGCTAAGTGATTGATACTGATTTACCCTTTGGAGCTTTGCAACAAATTACAAAGCAAAATATTGTAACTTTTAAAAAGTAGCTCTCCAAGCTTTGAGTTTGTATTTCTCAGGAAGTGGCAAAATGTGTAACAGTGCAGTTTCTTGTATCAAGTAGCTTGTAATAGAGTTACTTGTAAAAATGTCTGGGTAAAGTTGTAGCACAGGTATATACAGTGTTCCCTTACTTATTGCTGGGGTTAGGTTCCAGGACCCCCTGCAATAAGTGAAAAACGGCAGTATAGGGATACTCTATTTATTTTAATATTTATACATTATTTTAGTAGTTATACACTATTTTAAGTCTTTATAAACTGAAAATAAAGTGAAGGAAAGGAAGGAAAGTCCCTTCAAGGCTGGAGGGAGGGAGAACTGAGGAGGGAAAGCGCCTTGGAGAGCGGTGGCGGCAAAACCCCACAAAACACCAAAAATACCATGATTTCCAAAAAGTTAATTTTTTTGAAATCTGCGAAACAGCGAGTCCGCAATAAGTGAATCGTGGAGTAGCGAGGGAACACTGTACTAGCAGAAGTTATTTTTTAAAAGTTGTGTGTGTATATCTATTTATATGTATGTCAAATTACCCTACGACACAGTTTACCACATCATCAGATGGGCTGATTTGCCCATTGTATGCCGCTTGCTTTCACTTTCAGTACGGAGCCGATTACATGACACCCAGGGACTTCCGGCCAGGTTCCATGATAAAAGAGGAGAGCAAGGGCATCAACATTGGAGCCTTCCTGTGTTGCCTTAGGAGTAATGGGGGAAGTTGGGCGTCGACCCTTCCCCCATAGGATGGGGATCATGTTAATGCGGGTAATGCAGGGCGTGGAGCATTGGGTTCTCCACTCCTCCCCTGCAGGTACCCCATAGATTCGCCACAATGTGTGGTGAATCCATGGGCCTTTGTGATTATGTGCTTATAGAGTAGGTATGTGCAAACTTTGACCCTCCAGGTGTTTTGGACTTCAACCCACACAATTCCTAATAGCCTACCAGCTGTTATGAGTTGTGGGAGTTGAAATCCAAAACACCTGGAGGGTTGAAGTTTGCCCATGCCTGTTATAGATGTAGTAAATGATGACATGATAGGAGCAGCTTCCAGTAGACAAATTTGTTTCTCTTCAAAAACCATAACAAATATCAATGGTACTTCCACACTAAGCAAATATAACAAGATGATTTCAGTTTAACCACTATGCTTCTATCATCTGCAGTCCTGAGATGTGCTCACTGTAGATGGGGCCGTGTTGTTGTTTTTCATTCGTTCAGTCGTTTCTGACTCTTTGTGACCTCATGGACCAGCCCACGCCAGAGCTCCCTGTCAGCCATCACCACCCCCAGCTCCTTCAAGGTCAATCCAGTCACTTCAAGGATCCCATCCATCCATCTTGCCCTTAGTCAGCCCCCACTTCCTTTTTCCTTCCATTTTCCCCAGCATTTTGTCTTCTCTAAGTTTCTCTGTCTTCTCATTATGTGGACAAAGTACTTCAACTTTGTCTCTAGTATCCTTCCCTCCAATGAGCAGTCGGGCTTTATTTCCTGAAGTATGGACTGGTTGGATGTTCTCGCAGTCCAAGGCACTCTCAGCACTTTCCTCCAACACCACAGTTCAAAAGCATCTATCTTCCTTCGCTCAGCCTTCCCAATGGTCCAGCTCTCACATCCATAGGTGACTACGGGGAATACAATTGCTTTAACTATGCGGATCTTCATTGCCGATGTGATGTCTCTACTCTTCACTATTTTATCAAGATTGGACATTGCTCTCCTCCCAAGAACTAAGCGTCTCCTGATTTCCTGGCTTCAGCCTGCATCACTGCCTCCATGTTTTCTCCCTCTATTTCCCAGTTGTCAGTCATTCTTGTTTCCATAATCTTGGGGTTTTTTTCATGTTTAGCTGCAACCCAGCTTTTGCATTTTCTTCTTTCACCTTGGTTAGAAGACTCCTCAGCTCCTCCTCATTTTCGGCCATCAAAGTGGTGTCATCTGCATATCTAAGGTTTTTAATGTTTCTTCCAGCAATTTTCACCCCAGTCTTGCATTCGTCAAGCCTTGAACATTGCATGATGAGGCCTTGGCCTGTGAGAATACGGTTCAGGCTTGATTGGCTCTAGAATGCATTGAGTTTAATAGTGGATTCAAATTCCATTAAAACATTAGGGAGAAATTCCTGATGGCAAGACGTGTTCAACAGTGGAAAACTGCCTTGGAGTATGGTAGAGTCTCCTTCACAGAACGTTTTAAAACAGAGGCTGGATGGCCATCTTTCAGGAGTGTTTTGATTGTGTGTTATTTAATGGCAGAACAGGGTTAAACTAGATGGTTAAACTTTTTTCAGCCAGAAAGCTCTAGTGCTCCACCAAACTACAAATTCCAGGATATTCATAAAACACAATGAAACAAATCTATATAGATATATGTATACATGTATACAGTGTGGATGTATACAGTGTAGATGTATGTATACATGTATACAGTGAAGAGCAGAGACATTACACTGCCAATGAAGATCTGCATAATCAATGCAATGGTATTTCCCATAGTAACCTATGGATGTGAGAGCTGGACCATAAGGAAGGCTGAGTGAAGGAAGATAGGTGCTTTTGAACTGTGGTGTTGGAGGAAAATTCAGAGAGTGCCTTGGACCGTGAGAAGATCCAACCAGTCCATACTGCAGGAAACAAAGCCTGACTGCTCATTGGAGGGAAGGATAGTAGAGGCAAAGATGAAGTACTTTGGCCACATCATGAGAAGACGGGAAAGCTTAGAGAAGACAATAATGCTGGGGAAAATGGAAAGAAAAAGAAGGAAGGGCTGACCAAGGGCAAGATGGATGGATGTTATCCTCAAAGTGACTGGCTTGACTCTGAAGGAGCTGGGGGTGGTGATGGCCAACAGGGAGCTCTGGCGTTGGGTAGTCCATGAGGTCATGAAGAGTCAGAAGTGATTGAACGAATAAACAATAACAACAACATGTATACATGAACCAATACAATAACACCTAAGATTTATACAAAATTCCTATTTGGTTATACCCTCGTCTCCTCCCACACCTCCCATTTTGGTGACTTCTCATTAGGTCATCTGCAAATGCTCTCAGTTTGAACATTTTATTCTTAATTTTAGGCCCTTTGCTTTTTTCCTCCTCTCTTATCTTTTTAAACAACACTTCAAATGCCAAGATGAACAATAATGGGGACAGTGGGCATCCTTGCCTTGTGTCCTTTTATATTATACATTCTTTAGACAATTTTCCATTCACTAAAATTTTGGAGATATGTGTTTGGTAAATTGCTCTAATCCATCTTGTTATGTTAGTTCTAAATTCCATTTTTCCAGAATTGGAAATAAGAACTCCCAGTTGAAATTATCAAATGCTTTTTCTGCATCTATGAACACTAGGGCTTCTTTTCTTTCATTATGTTTATCCAAGTGTTCAGTCATGTCTAAAACCACTCTCAGATTGTCCTGAATATGTCTTTTAGAATGAAAGCCTGCCTGATTTTCTTGTATGAATTTGTCTAGAATTTTTAAAGTCTTTCTGCTATAATTGTGACTATTTCATAATCACCATTTAATAACGATATTGGTCTTTAGTTACTTGGATCCATCAATTCTTGTCCTTCTTTTGATATAAGTGTAACTATGGCCATTTACCATGTATTTGAAATTTAGCTGCTTCTAGAATCGAGTTGAATAACTCTTGCATAGGTCTTATTAGTTCATTTTCAAATTTCTTATAATAAATCACTGAGACTCCATCTGGTCCTGGGGATTTATTTGCTTTTGCTTTTTTCTTCAATTGCGATTGGTTATTTATATCTTCTCTTTGTTCATTTGTCAATTTTGGAAGTTTATTCTCCATTAAATGATTGTTAATATATTCATGTTAAATCTGGTTTCTCTTATACGATTTTGTATAGAATTTGTGGAAGATCTTCAGTATTGTTTCATTATCTGTAACTAGGTTCTCTTTGTTCTTTATTGCTGTAAGTAATTTATTTTCCTTCTCTTTTCCTAGTTTATATGCTAACCATTTGCCAGTTTGGTTAGCTGATTCAAAAGTTCTCAAATTCATTTTCCCCAGGTTCTTATTGACTTTTGATGATGTTAACTGAAATTTGTTCTGTAGATTTTTTTGCATTTTTTGTTTTTTATTCTTTCTTCATTCTTCTTGCTTTTGTATCTCTTATGAAATCTTCTGATATTATTCTTTTTTCTTTTTGTTTTCTGTTGAATAAAGAAGCCTCACAACTTTCTTATCTTTTGCCAAGATTTCACGTACTTTGGCGTTTCCGTTCTGAGCAAGTCCCTGTGAGGACATAGTTCACCTCTGATAGAGTAGTATCAATCTTGATCTTGACTTCCGCCTCCAGATGTCCATCTTTTGCTGCAGCATTAGTAAAACTGTAGATTTTGGAACTGGAGAAAGTGGAAAGATGGTTACAATGGAGATTACAATAGAGTGTCATGCCTTGCAAGGAAGAGAACAAAGGCAAATAAGTGTTGTTATGGGTTGTGGGGGTGGAGTAATGAGGTTGCATTTAGATTTTAATATATTTCTTAGTACTCCAGAGCTCCACAAAAAACAATAGCAAAAGATAGTAAGAATAGTAGAATCATAGAGTTGGAAGAGACTTTGTGGGCCATCCAGTCCAACCCCCTGCCAAGAAGCAGGAAAATCGAATTCAGAGCACCCCCGACAGATGGCCATCCAGCCTCTGTTTAAAAGCCTCGAAAGAAGGAGCCTCCACCATGCTCCTCCTCCAGGCTTTGAAGCTGCAAGGCCATTAAATGCTAATCAAGGTGGCCAATTGAAATATTCATACTTGCCTCAGACAGACAAGAGTTCCTTCTTTCACCCTGGACATTCCACAGATATCTAGTTTCCAACAGACCATCTGAGGATGCCTGCCATAGATGTGGGTGAAACATTGGGAGGGAATGCTTCTGGAACATGGCCATACAGCTAGTAAAACTCACAGCAACCCAGTGATTCTGGCCATGAAAGCCCTGGACAACATTTTTTTTCTTTTATAACCTGATTTAACTTGACTCATATCCCATCTCAGATGATCGTAGGGAATTACAAAGTGCATTACCTTGGCAAACTCTCGTCCAAAGCCAACTTCAAACCACTTAATGACATTCCTGGGCAGTCACCACCAGCAGCAGCCACAGTGAGACTGGATATATAGTTTTTTATCTCACTCACATTATGGGTTTTAAAGGCGGGACCGTAATCTATAGAAAGAGAATCACAACCAACGTGAATTAGAGTTACAGATAGAACAGATTCTCTATCTACCTAGTTTGGACCTGGAGGAAGTAAATAACCACAACTCAACCAAGGCCCCATCTACACTGCCATATAATCCAGTTTCAGAATGGAGATAGATTGCATTGAACTGGATTATGGGCAGTCAACCCTGTAGCCAAGGGGGGATAACCCCCAATTTTAATGGTTAATCAAATCCCCAGAATAATTCTATGAGAAGCATAATTAGAGTTCCTCCAGAATGACAAACACTATCTAAACCAAATTTTGATAAATTATTCTCGCTATAATTAATTACCTACCTGTGCACAGGTTGATTCAAGGACAACTTGTTCTCAAAGATGGGCTTATGGCACTATTTAGGGAAAGGCTTACACATTTTAAATTCAAAAGTACTTCGAAGCTAGGGTTTTTTTTAATGGTTTTGAAGAAACGAAGGCTTCAAAGTACAGAGGTATTAAATTGTGCTTAGAAATTAGAACTTGTTAAGTGGCATGTTGCAACAAAAGGCTTTGGTGCACCTGCCCGGTGCTCCACATCAGTTTTGGGTAAGTAGTCTATTTTGATTTGGGTTGCACTAATCTGAAGGATTAGATACATAGTTGGAATGCACTCCTGTGGACCAGGGGTATCAAACTCATTTTCATCAAGGGACACATCAGCCTTATGGTTGCCTTCAGAGGGTTGTTGAATCTATGGGTGGAGAATTCATAGATACAGAGGGCCAACTAGAATTTTGTACATATTAGTTTTTTACCTAATTTGGCTCTTCAGATGTTATTAAACAACAACTCCCATCACTTTTGATTATCTGCCATGAGGTCTGGTGATAATAGATATTTCAACCCAACAGTGCTTGTGGCTCTTACTTAGGCAATCCCTCATTTTCCGAGGATGATGGACTGGCGGTGGGTCCATAGGTGACTGTGGAACCCTATTCTTGATCTGCATCTTCTCCCACAGTGAGGGCATTGGTTTCCAGGTGGAAGGCGGTCCCGGTCAGGGTTGGCTTGAGATGCCTTCCTCTTGGCATGTTTTTCTCTTTCGCCCTCCATTCATGCCTCTTCAAATTCAACAGGACTGCTGGTCACAGCTGACCTCCAACTGGAGTGCTCAAGGGCCAGGGCTTCCCAGTTCTCAGTGTCTATGCCAGAGTTTTTAAGGTTGGCTTTGAACCCATCTTTAAATCTCTTTTCCTGTCCTCCAACATTCCATTTTCCGTTCTTGAGTTAGGAGTAGAGCAACTGCTTTAGGAGACGGTGGTCGGGCATCTAGACAACATGGCCAGTCCAGTGGAGTTGATGGCGGAGGACCATTGCTCCAATGCTGGTGGTCTTTGCTTCTTCCAGTACGCTGACATTCGTCCACTTGTCTTCCCAAGAGATTTGCAGGATTTTTTGGAGGCAGTGCTGATGGAATCATTCCAGGAGTTGCATGTGACGTTTTTAGACAGTCCACGTTTCACAGGCATATAGCAGGGTTGGGAGGATAATGGCTTTATAAACAAGCACCTCGGTATCCCTACGAATGTCCCAGTCCTCAAACACTCTCTGCTTCATTTGGAAAAATTCTGCACTCGCAGAGCTCAGACGGTGTTGTATTTCAGTGTCAATGTTGACTTTTGTGGAGAGGTGGCTGCCAAGGTAGCGGAAATGGTCAACATTTTCTAATTCAGCTGTATTTCTGGCATTGCAGATGTGTTGGTTGGTGTCTAGTGGAAGAGCACTTTGTTTTCTTGATGTTCAATGACGGCCAAGCTTCTCGTATGCTTCTGCGAAGGTGTTTAGAGTGGCTTGTAGATCTCCTTCTGAATGTGCACAGGCAACGTTCATATCCACAAGCCTTGTATCTACATTCCAATCTCAGAACAAACTGCAGCCTTCCGGATGTTACTGTATTTATTTGCTTTATTTCTATACCGCATTTTTCAGCCCAAACAGGCGACTGTATCACAACTCCCATCAGCTCTAGTCATGATGTCTAATGATGTGGAATACAGGAGTTGTAGTCAAGCATCTGGAGGGTCACATAAAATGGCATGGCAGGCCAGATTCAGCTTGCAAGTTTTGAGTTTGATACATTTATTTATTTATTTATTATTTGAACTAATATGCCGCCACTCCACTGGGGCTCGGAGCGGCTTACAAGAACAGGCTAAAATCTAACACAATTTTAAAACAATTTAAAAACAACAATATCAGAGATCAAAGGCCTGTCGAAACAGATATGTCTTACATGCCCTGCGGAAAGCTGATAGGTCCCGCAAGGCATGGACTTCAGGTGGCAGAGTATTCCAGAGTGATGGTACCACTGCCGTAAAGGCTCTGCGTCTGGTTGCTGTTAGACGCAAGGTCTTGACACTGGGAATTTCCAATAGATCTTGGTCCTCAGAACGAAGGGATCTCTGGGGTTGGTAGAGGGTGAGGCGGTCCCTCAGGTATATCGGCCCCAGACCATGCAAGGCCTTAAAGGTAAGTACCATCACTTTGAAAGTGATCCAGTGCTCAATTGGTAGCCAATGCAGCTGTAGTAAGATTGGTGTTATGTGGCATCTCATCGGAATTCCCGCAAGAAGCCGAGTGTAAAGATCCCTTACCTTTTTCAGCCTGGATGGCAGGGCCTAGAAGAAGTCTGCCAGCTAGTTTGCAGCTTAGGTGGGCCTGGCAAAAGCAGCAGTAGCCATTTTAAATCAGGGAAGGCACCATTTTAGAGAGGGGGAGTGTCTTAGGCCCGAGTCAGCATGAGAACGGCCAGGATTGGTTTAGGAAAAGGGGCGGAGTTTAGAGAGACTTGGAGGGGAAAAGAGCCTTTTCAGTGAGAAAGAGAGGGAGTTGGAGATTAGAGTAGGGAGAGAAAGGGTGTTTTAGAAGTTTGTGCTTGAGATAGTTTAGGAGAAGGCATTTTGTCATAGGTTTGCCAGCAAAGTCAGCTGAAGCAAACTGGAACAGCTATGAGGGGAAACATAGCTGGATTGTAGTTAGTTAGACCATAGTTTAGGGTAGCTAAGCTACAGAATTAATCCTGACAGAGATTCAGTTCCTGTTAGGTTTGCTTGTTAAGGAAGAGAAGAAAATCTCTGTATTGTAACAAAGACAGAACCATTATATGTAACCATTACGCATTTCAAGACAAAAGCCAAACTTTCTCTGTAACAACCAAGATATTAAACAGCACTTACTTTCTTGTGTTTTTATCAATAAGCTTTCATCGATTATTCAAAATTTTAAAAGCCTGAATCAAGTGTGCCTTTGTGGCTATAGTTCCTTAAACAGCCTCAACTGTTTTTTTTAAAAAAGAAGAAATAATAAGACACAGTGCTTGGTGGTCTTAAAAACACCTTTAATATTTTGGGCAGCTAGAGTGTTCCCTTGCATCACAGATTGGTGGCAGAGGTTGCGGGATTGATCGATTTGCGATCGATATCTTTATATTGGTGGCAGCGATGCGGGATTGATCAATAGCAATATCATTATACCGAGCAGCTGCGTTTTGTACCAACTTGAGCTTCCGGATCATCGACAGAGGAAGGCCAATGTAGAGGGCGTTACAGTAGTTCAGTCCTGAGATGACTGTGGCCTGGATCACCGTAGCTAGGTCGTGTGTGCTAGACTTAACATGTGCAGTTTGATAAACATGTTAACTACTATGGTTCAGTGCTATGGAATCATGGGAGCTGTAGTTTGCTGAAGCACCTGCACCCTTTGGCAGAGAATGTTAAAGACTTTCTAAAATTACAATTGCCATGATTCCATAGCACTGGAAATGCTGAAAAAAGTCTCAGGAGCGTTTTGGAGACAATACCAAAGATTTTGTATTGTATTTTATTATCTTCATTCTGAAATCACAAGTATATTCTTCTAAAGGCATGGAAGAACACAGCCCAAAAAACTGGGGAATGCAGCAATTTGGAAGCAAAATCAATTGGATTCTGTGTAATCACTGAATGCAATATCAGATTGTTCTAACCTGGATCACTGAAGGGCACCACAATGTAGTTGAGGGGTGCGTTTGGCAAGGTGGAAAATTTCTGGATAATTTCAATGCTTTTTTCTTTGACCTGGGCAATATCGTCAGTCATGCTGTTGCTGGTGTCTATCACAAAGACAAGAGAGTAGCCTTCCAGGTTGAAAAACTTCCGGAAGATGTTTTCGTCCACCATGGTGAGGAGGCTGGCATCTGAAAAAAACCAGAAATCTGATTTGCATCCATGCCACTTCAACTAGAGCTTGGAAATTAACTACATTTTCTATACTTTTTTTACTACTTAATCACACTAGAGAATGAATCCACTTTAAATCTTGTTTCTGCCTCTTGCAGAATTCTGGGGTTTGTAGTTTAGTGAGGCTGTTTAAAGGCTCCTCCCTAAACTACAAACCCCAGAATTCTGCAGGAGGCAGCAACCAGATTTAAAGTGGATTCATTATCTATTGTGATGAGTGAATGAGGCCTACCTATCCGAACGTATCTCTCTTTATGAACCATCTAGGACCTTAAGATCATCTGGGGAGGCCCTGCTCTCGATCCTGCCTTCCTCGCAGATACGTTTGGTGGGGACGAGAGGCAGAGCCTTCTCAGTGGTGGCCCCTAGGCTATGGAATGACCTTCCCAGAGATATAAGATTGGCTTCCTCCCTTCTAACATTCCGCAAAAAGGTTAAGACTTGGCTCTTTGAGCAAGCTTTTACTACTGGAGCATAATTAGACAAAAACGAATATATGGAACGACCGACAATGCAATTGGACAATGATTTTAGTAAGGAGACATCGAGGATTTTGTTTTTACAGGCTGTCTTGTTTTTTATATCACATTTTAAATGTTTTAATTGTTTTTATAATTGTTTTAACTGTATTTTTTATAAATGTTATGGCATCGAATCGCTGCCGACTGTGAACAGCCTTGAGTCGTCTCTGGCTGAGAAAGGCGGTATACAAATGTGGTAAATAAACACATAAATAAAAGTAAATTGACAGTTACATTTCAAAGGAATATGGGGTACATATATTTCATTTTTCTTATTGTTTCCATAATGTTTCCATAATAACATATAATAAAAACTAAACAAATCAATAAAATATATATTCATAGTGTCTCCTTGTTAAAAACATTGTCCGGACTCATTGTCTAGTCGTTCCATTTTCCTATATGAGTTACTCTGCATTTGCAAACGCTTGTTCAAAAAGCCACGTCTTGACTTTTTTCCAGAATGTTAAAAGGAAGGTGACCAATATAATATCTATAAGGAGGGTGTTCCACAGCTGAGGGGCTACAACTGAGAAGGCCCTGTCTCTCGTCTCTGCCAAACGTACTTGTGATATATGGGGTAATCCTGTATTATTTTGTTGGGTTATTTTGGATTATTTTGTTTTATTGTGGCATTGAATGTTTGCCCTTTTGCATGTTGGAATCTGCCCTGAGTCCCCTTGGGGAGATAGGACAGAATATAAATAAAGTTTTATTTATTATTATATATTATCTCCACTGAAGATTTCCCACCACTCCTTATTTCCACAACAAGCCATATTTTTCAAAATCCAGTTATCACAGAGACAGAAAGTGAAGGGAGATCTTCTCAACAGGGACGCAGACAGCAAAACAAACATCACAGGGGTGGTAACTCTTCCCTTTGCTATCCAAAGCTAATGCCAGTATATTATTGTTGTTGCTGTTGTTGTTGTTGTTGTTGTTGTTGTTGTTGTTATTATTATTATTATTATTATTATTATTATTATTATATTTATACCCTTCTTTACCTCCCCAAAGGGGACTCAAAGCAGCTTGACATAAAAGCATTAGCATGGAATCTAAAATATACAAAAATTACAACAGAATTAAACACAAATATTTAAACAGAAATATATACGTATTGACTGGTCTTACACTTAAAAATGTACTTGTTCCGTCTTAGAAACAAATTCAAATTAAGAAGAGAACCTATCTTCTTCGTAACTTGAGGACTGCCTGTAGACTTACCCCCTTCTACAAAGAAGTTCTTTGTGGCTTGAATAGCTAGTTCAGCTGCTTTCTTGTGCAGGTGAGCATGAGGGGAGAGCTTTGGGTCAGAAGTCTCTTTGTTGATGCCCCCAGTGGGATAAACGTCTTGAGTGGCATCATCTTTCCCTCCGTGCCCACATTTGCCTGTAGAAAAAAAAAAGCAGAGACAGGAGAGGAGATCACTGGAAACTTAAGACCTATCTCTACCAGCACAAGATTAGTACACAGCAAACAAGGTCACTCTGCTGGCTGTTGTATTGGATCATATGTCGAACACTTCCCAAGTGTCTAGGACTGTGCGATGTATCGGCAAATAATGTGTGCAGATCCCAGTAGGGTGGCCTTTTGCAGCTGTCAGAGGGTAATTTTGTCAGTGCCGATTGTGTTTAAGTGCAGGCCAAGGTCTTTAGGCACTGAACCCAGTGTGCCGATCACCACTGGGACCACCTTGACTGGCTTGTGCCAGAGTCTTTACAGTTTGATCTTTAAATCCTTGTATTGTGTCAGTTGTCCAGCTGTTTCTCTGCAATCCTGCTGTCATCTGGGATTACAACATCGACGATTCATACTTGGTTTTTTAACACAATTGTGAGGTCAGGAATCTTGTGCTCCAAAACTCTGTTAGTCTGAATTCAGAAGTCTCAAGAGTAGTTTGATATGCTCATTTTCTGTAACTTTTTCAGGCTTGTGATCCCATCAGTTCTTTGTGGCAGGCAGATGGTAGACTCATAGAATCATAGAATCAAAGAGTTGGAAGAGATCTCATGGGCCATCCAGTCCAATCCCCTGCCAAGAAGCAGGAATATTGCATTCAAATCACCCCTGACAGATGGCCATCCACCCTCTGTTTAAAAGCTTCCAAAGAAGGAGCCTCCACCACACTCCAGGGCAGAGAGTTCCACTGCTGAACGGCTCTCACAGTCAGGAAGTTCTTCCTAATGTTCAGATGGAATCTCCTTTTTTGTAGTTTGAAGCCATTGTTCTGCGTCCTAGTCTCCAGGGAAGCAGTAAACAAGCTTGCTCCCTCCTCCCTGTGACTTCCTCTGACATATTTATACATAGCTATCATATCTCCTCTCAGCCTTCTCTTCTTCAGGCTAAACATGCCCAGCTCCTTAAGCCGCTTCTCATAGGGCTTGTTCTCCAGATTCTTGATCATTTAAGACACTTGATCATTTAGGCACAAGTTCCAATGAATCATCTGAGCAACGATGTTATGCCTCTGCTTGTAGTCTGTCTGAGCGATCTTCTTGCAGCAGCTGAGGATGTGATCTATTGTTTCATCTGCTTCCTTGCAGAGTCAGCACTTGGGATCTGTTGTCGACTTTTCAATTTTGGCTTTGATGGCATTTGTTCTAATGGCTTGTTCTTGGGCTGCCAGAATCAGGCCCTCTATCTCATTTTTCAGAGTTCCATTTGTGAGGCACATTCATGGTTTTTCTTGGTCAATTTTGCTCTCAATTTCCCCAGGAACTAATAACTATTATTACTATCATCATCCTCATCCTCATCCTCTACATGGCAAGCAGGCCCATAGCCAGGATTTCAATTCGGGGGGGGGGGGGGCTAAGTTTGTTTTGGGGGGGGGGCTGAGTCTGAGTGAAAGAGGGTCTACCCTAGCAAACCTTTTGTATCGTTACCCCAATACCCCCATACATATGGGATATATTGAGTATGGTGATCAGATCATGATATGAATAAACATAACAGTTTAAATAATGCACCAGTAAGGCCTTTTCACGAACCACCATGAGAATTTCGGGGTGGGGTGGGGGCTTGAGAGGCTTCATGCCTGATGGCAAGGAATCTTAGCAAGAGGAGTTAGTCTTACCTTCTGGTTTGGTCTTGCAAGTTCCTGATATCTTGTATCCGCTTACGAGCATGTCCTTCACAAGTATGTTGTCCAAACATGTGTACACCCCACTATTAAATGTAGAAGTAGATTAATGAACTGCTTTGGAATGAAAACATCCAAATGTAATAGCAACTATAAAATAAGCTACAATACTCACATTGACCTGCCAACCCAGGTTTTTTGGGTGGAGTTTTTTGGCTAAAGTTTGTAGACTGATACATGAGTAGATAGAGCAGATTCCATATGATACATGAAGAGAAAATTTTACTTTGGGCAGCATAGTCCCTTTGGTCAGCCCTGATATCACCCACAAATACATTCCATTGCCCCTCTCCTTGTGTCTTACCTGATATTTTTGACACAGTCTTTACATGTTGCTATTGAAGCAGGGGCAATGGGTACCGTAACATTACTGTCTTCATTTACTGTAAAATACAAGAGAAAGACATGCATTTTAATTGAACCATCCATAAATTTAAAATTCAGATACTTTACTTTGATACTTTTCTGTCTCTATTTTACAAATTAATGAACTAGCAGATGAACAAACATATTATGAAACAGGAGAAAATATTCTCTCTTTTTGTCATCTCTCTGGGTGATTTTTTATACACTTCAATCCTGTCTTTGCTTATAGCATTCACTTTCCATCTAAGCTAACAGCACAATTCATCCAATGCTACCATCATTTTGGTCACCCTGTTCTGTATTATGGTAGATAATACTGGCATAACTCTTTTAATGAAGACAATGTGTTCCTGGAATTTACTTCAGTAACAGAATATGTGGTACCAGAGGCAGAAATAACATGGAATGAACAGAGATAAGGGTAATATTCCAAATTGAACATGTCCATATAATCTCACAGGAAGGGCCTAGAGATTTCCAGAAAGAACATTTTAATCAAATCTACAAAAATCAAACCCACAATGTTTTTTTTTCCTTGTCAGGAGCAACTTGAGAAACTGCAAGTCACTTATGGTGTGAGAGAATTGGCTGTCTGCATGGACTTTGCTCAGGGGATGCCCAGATGTTAGATGTTTTACCATCTTTGTGGGAGGCTTCTCTCATGTCCCTGTATGGGAGCTGGAGCCGACAGAGGGAGCTCAACCTGTTCTCCCCAGATTTGAAATGCTGACCTGTCAGCCAGGAGTCCTGTCAGCACAAGGTTTTAACCTACTGTGCCACCGGGGGCTCCTTTCACCCACAACGTGAAAGGACAACAATTTAGGAATGGTCAGTAAGGAATTATGGAGGCAGCTTACTATTTAGCTTGACTGCACATAGGGCTATAGCACGATTGGCTCTATTAGGATCCCGTTCTTTCCCAGCTCTGGCTTTACTGCACTGACCATACATTGCAGTTCAATTCAGCCTTACTTACTTAGGCGATCCCTCGTAGTCCAAGGATGATGGTCCTCCAAGTTCGGTGTCCTGGGGGTGGGTTCGTAGGTGGCTGTGGAGCCCTATTCTTGACCTGCATCTTCTCCCACAGTGAGGGCATTGGTTTCCAGGTGGGAGGCGGTCTCGGTCGGGGTTGGCTTGACACGCCTTCCTCTTTGCACGTTTCTCTCTTTCACCCTCCATTTGTGCCTCTTCAAATTCTGCAGCACTGCTGGTCACAGCAGACCTCCAGCTGGAGCGCTCAAGGGCCAGGGCTTCCCAGTTCTCAGTGTCCATGCTAGAGTTTTTAAGGTTGGCTTTGAGCCCATCTTTAAATCTCTTTTCCTGTCCTCCAACATTCCGTTTTCCATTCTTGAGTTCGGAGTAGAGCAATTGCTTTGGGAGACAGTGGCCGGGCATCTGGACAACATGGCCGGTCAATCGGAGTTGATGGCGGAGGACCATTGCTTCGATGCTGGTGGTCTTTGCTTCTTCCAGCACGCTGATGTTTGTCCGCTTGTCTTCCCAAGAGATTTGCAGGATTTTTTGGAGGCAGCACTGATGGAATCGTTCCAGGAGTTACATGTGACACCTGTAGACAGTCCACGTTTTGCAGGCATATAGCAGGGTTGGTAGAACAAAAGCTTTATAGACAAGCACCTTGGTATCCCTCCGGATGTCCCGGTCCTCAAACACTCTCTGCTTCATTCAGAAAAATGCTGCACTCGCAGAGCTCAGGCGGTGTTGTATTTCGGTGTCGATGTTGACTTTGGTGGAGAGGTGGCTGCCAAGGTAGCGGAAAGGATCAACATTTTCTAATGTTACACCATTAACCTGTATCACTGGCATTGGAGAGGGGTTGGCTGGTGACTGCTGGAACAGCACTTTGGTTTTCTCGATGTTCAATGACAGGCCGAGCTTCTCGTATGCTTCTGCGAAGGTGTTTAGAGTGGCTTGTAGATCTTCTTCTGAATGTGCACAGACGACATTGTCATCAGCATACTGGAGTTCTATAACAGATGTTGTTGTAACCTTGGTTTTGGGTTTCAGTCTGCTGAGGTTAAACAGCTTGCCATCTGTCCGATAGATAATTTCCACTCTGCTGGGAAGCTTCCCATCAACAAGGTGAAGTATCATAGCGATGAAGATGGAAAATAAAGTTGGGGCAATAACACATCCCTGTTCAATTCAGCCATGTGCTTACCAATAGCAGAAAAGATCTCCTTCTCCCCATACAGATGATACCTGGTAAAGTAATTGGGTGAGTAGTAGGCCGGAATCCACAATTGTGGAGAACATTTTTTATAACAGCCTCACAAGGATTGTTTTCCTTCTAGGAAACAACTGGTGGGACGTCCACAGAAAAACAAGTAAAACCTATTTGCCAATGTCTATACCCAACGCGACTTACTCAGGAATTCGTAAATGTCGTTGTTTCCCATTTCAACCCAATTGGTGTTGCTGTAGAACTTCTGGAGCACATGGAGGGCCTTCCCAGCATTTAGGCGAGCTGACTCCAAGCCTGCTAAGGTCACAGGCTCTACAAGACTCGCTAGCATGGCCTTCCTCAGGGATCGAAGCTGGGCTATACCTGAGAAGGAAAAGCAGTTTGGATTTCAGTACCTTCTGGAGTGAACCTCAATTAATGGCATTGTTGGCCACCCATGAGTTCTGTATCGGAACAGAAGAATCCATTATTATGGAAACGTGTCATGTTTTACAGAAGACAATTCTTCTGTAAAACATGCTCTCTTTGCATGGCTCTCTAGCCTAAGGACCTCATCACGTGAATGAGGTTCTACGGGGAGATTTGCCACCACCCACGGCAAATCAGTGGGGCAGCAGGGCAATCCCAGTCCTCCATCTCACACACAGCTGATACTTCTCCACCTCATGTGGGGAAGCATCATTGCTGCAGCTTGGCCCTGTCATCATACGTTGTGATTATCTATAACTACAGGTACAGCCATAGGGCATTAAATTGCCTGATTTTTGGTCCTAAACTATTACACCGTTGCATAGGAAGATGCAAAGATTCCTAGGTCATACTCTCTAGGATTTTGCTATGTCCTCCTGTGCAGTTTTATGATAGCTTTCAGGGGATGCATGCCATAGAAGCATTCAGAAGACTTAGCAAATTCTCAGAGACCATTTCCCATTAGGCACAGGTAAATGAAACCACAAACCTCCTTTGGCTGATCTACCTGCTTGTTGTTAAGGTGGCTGGGGTGGTATTTACAAAGTCTTTGAGGAAGACAGCACACTTTTAATGAATACAGAACAATTATAGACCCATATCTGTAATTGTAATATGGTAGGACCCCTGTATATATAGGGGCAGGGGTGGCTCGTCCATTACGCAAAGTAAGCGGTCAGAGAACACTTTTTTTTGCCAGGGGCGCAGAGGCACCTCTGTAAATGCCCCTCGACCACCACTTGAGGATGCCCCCTCAGCTCACAACAGCCCTAGCAGTCCGGGGGGAGCCTCGGCTTCCTTGCCTCACTGCCGGGTGATCCTCTTCCCAAAGGAGCCGGGCTCTTGAGCCTTGCCTAGCCCTTGACATATGCGGGTTGTAGTTACTGGGATGTATAGTTCACCTACAATCAAAGAGCATTCTGAACTCCACCAATGATGGAATTGAACCAAATATGGCACACAAAACTACCACAACGAACAGAAAATATATATCAATGATTGGTTGGGGGGGGGGGGGCACGCCAAAATACTGTTTGCTTACCATTGAAAATTATCCAGGGCCACCTCTGTATAGGGGATACATTCCTTACTGGACTGTGATTATCTGAAACTACAGGTACAGCCATAGGGCATTAAATTGTCTAGTTTTTGGTCCCAAGCTATCACACTGTTGAATAGGAAGATGCAAAGATTCCTAGAAGGGTACTCTCTAGGATTTTGTTATGTCCGAATGTATTCTCCCCTATGAACCACCAAGACAATTAATATCTTCTGGTGGGGCCCTGCTCTCGGTCCCACCACTTTCGCAATCGCGTCTGGTGGGAACGAGAGACAGGGTCTTTTCTGTGGTGGCCCCTCGGCTATGGAACTCTCTCCCAATTGAGATCAGATCTGTCCCCTCCCTCTTGTCCTTCAGGAGGCTGGTGAAATCCTGGCTATGGAAGGAAGCATTCCCAGAGTAATGGTTGAAACCGGCTACAGAACAAAGTTATCAACCACACATACGGACTGATTTGGACATGATTTTATCTTGGCGATTTGGCTTATTTGTAATTTTAATCTATATGTTTTTTAACTCGTTATTATATGATGTTTTTAGATTGTACTGTTAGCATTGAATCCTTGCTGTAAGCCGGTCTGAGTCCCTCTACAGAGGTTGAGAAGATCAGGATATAAAAGTTTTAAATAAATAAATAATGTGCTCCTGTGCAATTACGAGGACTTATTGTATTGCATTTCAGCCTACGTTTTCAATCATAATATTGGCTCATGTTTTGTGTGGGACTCCCAAAATATAGATAAGTGACATATTTGAATGATAACTCTATTCTACATGGTAATTCTGTGCTTGGATTGTATATTAGAATTTGCCAACACAAAAGGGCAAAAGATAACAAACCAAAACCCTTATAGAAACATTGAGGAAATTTGAGCAAAACGCGCCAAGTAGATTTTGCTGCCTTCATCTACCTCCCAAGTACTGCTTTTCACTCTATCGCACACACAAACAAAACTCACACAAAATCCCTTCTTACTTTTAGCAATTTCTCCACAGTGGAAGAAGTAACTGCTGTCCTCCCTGTGGTCAACCTCCACTTGGTTATTCCCTTTGACAATTTCCTCAAGGGCTTTGACAAACTGATCAGGAGGCACATCAGCTGGGCAAAGAAAAGAGACAGATCCAGTTATGATTTTAGCATTATCACTCTTTCTCTTCAAATAATAAAGCAAAGGTTTCCCCTTGACATTAAGTCTAGTCGTGTCTCCATTTCCAAGCCAACAAGCCGGTGTTGTCCGCAGATGCCTCCAAGGTCATGTGCCAGCATGACTGCATGGAGCAACATTACTTTCCTGCAGAAGTGGTACCTATTTATCTACTCACATTTGCATGTTTTTTAATTACTAGGTTGGCAGAAGCTGGGGCTAACACCCTGCTCCCCATATTTGAACCACTGACATTTTGGTCAGCAAGTTCAGCAGCTCAGTGGTTTAACCCGCTGTGCCACCATTTGTTTATGTTCTGAACTTCAAGGAGTTTACAATCCCTAGTAAAACAGCAGGGAGACAAGGTGCAAAGAGAAGCCATTCACAGTGTCCTGCAGTGGGAGGAAAGGAAGGACAATTGGCTCTCCATGTTCATAAAGGTTAGGGGTGCAGGAACCTCATCAAAGTGGGAAAACCACAGATAACTATAGGGATAGAGAAGCTGCCTCCCAAAATCCTTGGAACAGCCAAGATCCCCTGATAAATAGCACCCCTAACTTGGAACAGCTGAAGTTTTGGATGCTGTTTGTCAGAGAGAGTGGCTATTCTGCCTCGTCCACAGTTGCTGAATGAGGCAGATCACTTCCTATCTCCCAAACATACCATGCAAATGAATTAGATTTCTATCTCAGTGACTAAACATTGAAAGATTAACGTAAAGGTTTGCCCTTGATATTAAGTCTAGTCATGTCCAACTCTGGGAGGTGGCGCTCGTCTCCATTTCTAAGTCGAAGAGACAGTGTTGTTCGTAAACACCTCCAAGGTCATGTGGCCAGCATGACCGCATGGAGTGCCCTTACCTTCCCGCAAAAGTGGTACCTATTGATATACTCACATTTTCCTGTTTTCGAACTGCTAGGTTGGCAGAAGCTGGGCCTAACAGCAGGAGCTCACCCTGCTCCCTGGATTCGAACTGCTAACCTTTCGGTTAGCAAGTTCAGCAGCTCAGTGGTTTAACCTGCTGCACCACCAGGGGGCCTAAGTATTATTAAACATTTACCCTTTCCTGCAAAACCTATTTCTTGGGATATGATCATACAAATGAAGTATCTTTAAACACAATGTAAGAGCATTTCAGCAAGACATTTCAAAACTGTTTAACTCATAGAGAATAGCTCATGTTTTTTAGTGGCTGGTGGCTTCCAGGGAATCCCTCCCCATTTTAGACCAGACTGTCAAGAGACTATCCAAAGTACTGAACTTATCTTGGGCATTGACTTCAGCAGCTTGAACTGGTTTTTTAAAAGTTCAGCCAAAACCTAGGGCACATTCTGGGAGTACTTGTGGGGACTTAGGGCCAAATTCCTTGCTGGAGGAATGGCAGAGTATTGGATTCTCTGGTTCAAACCTTGCATTGCTGGGGGATTTGGGAAGCTGCAGTTCAACAAAGCAACATTTCTAAGGGTTGTTGTAGTTTTTTTCGGGCTATATAGCCATGTTCTACAACAACCCAGTGATTCCAGCCATGAAAGCCTTCGACAATACATTCAACATTTCTAAGTTTATTCCTCTTAAGTAAGGAAAGACCTCGTATCCCTTCCCCAGCCCCAAATCTACTACCTTCAAAATATGTTTTGAACAATTCAGTTGAGTTCTTATCAGCTAGCTCTCCTGGAGCCTTGGGCAACATTCCAGGAAGGGGAACTAACTCCATGAACCAAGAAACAGCCTTCAGTATCCCTTTTTCGGTGATGTCGGCATCAGTGAAGTCTCCCGGATCAAGGCCTCCTGATTCGTGGTTGGGGCGGAATCCATTCACAGTGCCCATCCAGAGGAGCAAAAGGGTTGCTCTGGCAAACAGCATGGCTTTCCTTGGGACTGCTGCAATGATCAGAAGGTGTAGGGTAAACCGTTGTGATGGGATCTGCTTGCCTCCCAAATATATAGCTGAGGCAGAAGTGGGTCACTCGGCCAGCTAGTAAACATGTTGTTACATATTTGACTGGGCAGAGAACTCAGGGCAGCTTGCTTTGCAAACTCTGACCTTGCATTGAGCAGCACTATAAGTAGAAAAAAAACCCCACAGACTGTCTGCCTCATGACATGTGCCAAGATGCCTTCTGTATGCTGCTTCCTCTACATTTTCAGAATGGAGGCCCATTAGAGAATGCACAGGGAGTTCCAGCCGAAAGAGGAGAGGAAGCAGCACATACCTCCACTACGGCAACATGGGAGCCGTCCTGTTTTGCTTTATCATCAATGGGGGGAAGTCAGGTGGCAACACTTCTCCCCCATGGAATGAGGGGCAAGGCAAGTCATGCAATGTGGGGTATAGAACGTAGGCTTCTGCACACCCTCTCAGGAGCCCATGGATCAAATCCATGGGCCTTTGTGATGAGGTCCTGATTGATAGCATAAAATGAGAATACAGCCAGTTCTCCATATTTGCAGCTTTCACTCTTGTGGTAAAGATAAAAGTAAAGGTTTCCCCCTGACTTTAAGTCTAGATGTGTCCAACATGGTGCTCATCTCCATTTCTGAGCCGAAGAGCCAGTGTTGTCCATAGACACCTTTAAGGTCATGTGGCCGGCATGACTGCATGGAGTGCCATTACCTTCATGCCTATTGATCTAGTCACATTTGCATGTTTTTGAACTGCTAGGTTGGCAGAAGCTGGGCCTAACAGCAGGAGCTCACCCCGCTTCCTGGATTCAAACCTTTTGGTCAGCAAGTTCAGCCGGTTTAACTCATAGTACCATCAATTTGATTATGTTCATGAATTTGGTTAATATGTTATCTCTAGAAACCTCTAGGTCAGTGGTTCTCAACCTGTGGGTCCCCAGATGTTTTGGCCTTCAACTCCCAGAAATCCTAACAGCTGGTAAACTGGCTGGGATTTCTGGGAGTTGTAAGCCAAAACATCTGGGGACCCACAGGTTGAGAACCACTGCTCTAGGTCCTCTGTAGTCAACTTCTGTCACAGTGTTGCACTGAAGGACCTAGATTTTCCTAGAGATAATAATAATAATAATAATAATAATAATAATAATAAAGAGCAAACCACAGACCACGTGCTGCAATGCAACCTGAGCCCTGCCACATGCACAATGGAGGGCCTTCTTGCGGCAACACCAGAGGCATTCCAAGTGGCCAGATACTGGTCAAAGGACATTTAATCAACTACCAAGTTTGCAAAATTTGTGTGTTTTTTATCTGTTTCTTTGTTTTGTTCTGTTAGAAATGTAATACAATGGTCTAGTTGCGGATGACACGATAACTAACTAACTAAATAAATTATTTATACCCCACCACCATCTCTCCAAGGGGACTCGGGGCGGCTTACATGAGGCCAAGCCCAACAACACATCAGTAAAAACAAAAGAGCAAGCAATTAAAACAGTACAATTAATATAACTTACATATAAACAATAACACTCCTCTGGAGCTTTCTAGATCCTCAAACATGATTCTGTGGCAAGCAGAGATTAGAGTAGCACTGATGGATCTAGATATTTAACTGCCATGGGAGTTGTAGTTTTTAACATTTTAGCCTTTGCTAGCAATGAGTGCTGGTGCTTCATCACACTACAACTCCCAGGAGTCCGTAGTATTGAGCCATGCCAGTTAAAGCGATGTCAAACTGCATTAATTCTACAGTGTAGATGCACTTTTGGTATGTCAGATAGCTTGGACCCTACCCATTCTAGCTGAAAGTAGAACTATAACATCTCAATGTGGAAACTGTCTAGATTAGATGGTAAACGGTCTCCTAGGAACTTTTTGTAGCCATTTCAGAAGAAGGTGAAATGTCCCCAGTATAACTTTAAACATAACAACTTTATAACTTTAATAATAATAACTTTATTTTTATACCCCACCACCATCTCCCCATAGGGCACTCAGGCTTACAAAGGGACAAGCCCAAAAATTACAAAGACACAATTAAAATCAATCAAATAAAATAACGAACCTGGACACAGCATATTATTTGAGAACACAGAAATGCTGGACCACTCTAACAACCACCATGTCAGGCTACACAGAGAAGCCACTAGAGTACACATGAAGCATGTGGATAATTTCAACAGAAAGGAGGAAGCCATGAAAACGAACAAAATCTGGCCACCAGTATTTAAAAAATTCTAAAATCATAACAATAAATAAAGAACAACACTCAAAACCAGGGGAGTTCCAGAGAAGAAACAATCAGGCTAACTAATCACCTCCCAACAAAGGATTCCCCCAGGCAGTAAGCAGCCAGACCTTGAAAACTGCTAGGCCATTAAATGCTAATCAAGGTGGCCAATTGCTACATTCACACTTGCCTCAGACAGACAAGAGTTCTTTCTCCCACCCTGGACATTCCACAGATATATAAACCCCATTTTTCTAGTTTCCAGCAGACCTCACAACCTCTGAGGATGCCTGCTCTAGATGCAGGGAAAACCTTAGGAGAGAATGCTTCTGGAGCATGGCCATACAGCCTGGAAAACACACAACAACCCAGTGATTCCGACCATGAAAGCCTTCGACAATACATCAAATCAATATAAACAGAGTAAAACAGTTTAAAACAATAAAAAGATTCTCTCCACAGGTAACAGAAGAGTTTAACCTTCCATTGCTTAACAGTTGACTTTCCCCCTTTCTCACCTTTTTGGAACTGTGCTCTGTGTACAGAACTATTTTCCCTCCTGATCCTTGGCTTGTCCAGCTGTGATCTGAGCCAATTCAAACACATCTAGTTCTGAAGAACTCCCCTATCTCCAATGAGACTTTGACACTGGGACATCTAGATTGATTTTGCCACCTTTAGGACTGATGAATTTAGTATGAAACCTCAACAGAAGCTGGAAAATCAGACTTTCCTTGAAAGTTGGAGGAAAAAAAAAAACCAATGAATATCTCTACAGAGGGAATGGAGCATCATTGATGTGGTTCGTGATGGGGGCTATCCATCATAATCCTGGACGAATTTGGAGGAGAAGCCGGCACCTCATGCACTTTCACCAACTCTGAGGATATGGCTCCTTTTCTTCCTTCTGTTTGCTGTGAGTGTCTGTTCTTCTGAGGCAAAAGAAAGGAACTGCTGGGAGAAGCAGAAACCCATCACAAACAAGAAAGACTGGGGAACCACCAGTCCGATCCGTTTCTGCAACATCAGGATATGTTGCAGGATATGTCCCCTGTTCCTCTTCACATATGCTATGTCTTTCTGTTCCTCTTGGTATCTCCCTTCCCTTGCCGAGATGAAATAGATGGCTAAGTGCACATAGTAAGAGGAAAAGGAGCCAGATCTACAGAGTAAGAGAAGTGGAGAGTGGGCCTAGCTTCTCCTCTTCTTAAGTGCCAAGAGTATCTCTTTCATCATGGCAATGGATGGGCGTACCAGGAGAAACAAAAATATATGGCATGCCTGTCTCCTCAATACCCCCCCCCCCCCCCCCCCCCCCCCCTTATCTCCTGGCAATGGGGATGCTGAATTTGGGGTGGTACAAGTTCACAAGTAATCAAAACCATGCATGTAAAATTCATGAAAGTGGAGAGATGGCTGTAGCCTTCTCTGCCAAATTGTGGTGTTGCCTCATCAAACTACAATAGCCAGGGTTTCATAACATTGAGACAAAGCAATTGAAGTGGCGTCAAACTGCATTACGTCTCCAGCATAGATGGACCCCAAGACCTACATTTCTCTATTTAGCTGTCTTCTCCAGCATCATGTTTGAAAAACAGTGGAACCGCAACTTACAAGCATCCCAACTTAAGAGCATTGTGAGTTATGAGCAGTTGCTTGGCCTGGGTTTTGCTTTGACATATGAGGAACGTTTTGAGTTATGCACTAGCTTCAGAGGGAGCCCTAGTGCGAGGGTACAGGGCTTTAGGGCTTCAAGGAAGCAGCTTCCATGTCTCGTGCTCTTGTCCACTTTGGGAGATTGCTGTCCACTTTGCTCTTGTCCACTTTAAGCAACTTTGGGTTATTTTGTGTGGTTTTTATTTCTGGTATGCTTGGCTTCATGAGGAGAGAGAGGGAGAGAGAGCAAGAGAGGGAGGAGGGCTGGAATGAGTACTGCATGAAGAAAATGATACTTCTGCCTCTTCACTTTGTGCTTTGTGCTTCCTCGCCACAACCTTGTGCTTTTACTATTTTAAAGTTGAACTTTCTTTTTTATTGTTCCATGTGAATGTGCAAACTTTGCCTTGTGTCATTATATTTATACATTATTTGTTTTTTATAAAATATATTTTCTTATTTAACTGTCGGTGATCCGGAAGCTCAAGTTGGTACAAAATGCAGCTGCTCGGCTTCTTGCGGGAATTCCGATGAGATGCCACATAACACCAATTTTACTACAGCTGCAGTGGTTACCAATTGAGCACCGGATCACTTTCAAAGTGATGGTACTCACCTTTAAGGCCTTGCATGGTCTGGGGCCGATGTACCTGAGGGACCGCCTCACCCCCTACCAACCCCAGAGATCCCTCCATTCTGAGGATCAAGATCTATTGGAAATTCCTAGTATCAAGACCTTGCGTCTAACAGCAACCAGACGCAGAGCCTTCACAGCAGTAGCACCATCACTCTGGAACACTCTGCCACCTGAAGTCCGTGCCTTGCGGGACTTATTAGCTTTCTGCAGGGCATGTAAGACATACCTGTTTTGACAGGCATTTGATTTGTGATTTTGCTGTTTTAAAATTGTTTTAAATTGTTTTTAAATTGGTTAGATTTTAGCCATGCTTATAAGCCACTCCGAGCCCCAGGGGAGTGGCGGCATATAAGCTAGAATAATAAATAAATAAATAAATAAATAAATAAATAAATAAATAAATAAACTCATGTAACAAAGAAAAATGGTGTGGTTTTTGGAGGGCCGGAACAGATTAATAGCATTCAATGGGAATTTGATTTAAGAGTGAGTTGGGTTAAGAGCTCTGTCACAGACCAAACTAAACTCTTAACTCAAGGTATTGGTGTATGTTGGTTTTCTCCCCCTTCAAGTTTCTTCACATTTCAAAAGGATAGTTTTCTCAATAAATTTCTGTGAACTCTGTAGTAGGGAAACTACCCAATGGCAGTCTTGCCTGGAAAAATTCTATTTCCTGCCCATGTTCTGGTTTTCCTCCATCTTCTGGTTCTCTTGTCATAGGAGCCTCATTCTCTGTTCCCATAGGTCCTGTTTCTTGGCATTTGAGTTTATTTTTGAGTGTGTATTCTTCATTTTTGGCACTATGTTGTCTCCTTGGATCATTACACATAGTTTAATCCCAGCCTTTGCCCTCTCAACTGGTTTGTAGCTATTCCAATTCAAACAAATCTAGTTCCGAAGAAGAACTCTTATTGCATTAGATAGGCCTTGATTCTGCAACTTAGTGAACTTTGCAACCTGTTGGTATTTTATGAGTCTATTCTCCTATTTTTGCCAATATTCCATTGAAATGGGAGGAAGACAGTTGTTCACTTCAGGCTATTCTGGGTTAGAAAACTGTTCACACCATTTCATAGGTGAAAATCTAGCAACAAGTGGGGTCAAGTTGTCAGAGATATTGATGAATGAAAAAAACCTGAGGCTATGAGGGGCTGTAACATTTTACTTTTGCCTGAGACTAATGAGACTGCAAGGACCCACATATCCAAACACACCAGATTCTGTGTGACTTTGGAAGCTAAGCAAGGTCAAACCCAGTTGGCTCTCGAATGGGAAGCAATCAAGAAATACCTGATACTGGGGCTACATTTCAGTGGGAGGAAGAGCAACCCACCTCTGAGCCTTCCTTAACTAAGAAAACCCAGCAAAATTCATAGGGCCACTATACGTTAAGAGTCAGTTTGAAGACACACACAATCCAAGTTAATTCAGTGTGCACTGCCTTTGGATTTTGAACAGATTAACTGCTTTGGACTGGATGATATGAGTCTACACTGCCAATTCAACACAGTTGATCTGCATTATGAAACTGTATTATATGGCAGTGTAGAAGGGGCCTCTGAATAAGTTGAAAATGACGGGAAGGCACACAACGATGACAGTAACAACAATAACCCATCCTAGAGAGAGGTGCTGCCTTCATCTGGCCTATCTAGAGCCAATACTTTCATCCTGCAATACTGTACATATGTTTGTGTGTCTTCAAGTCACCAGCTGACCTATAGTGACCCTAAGAATATTGTAGGGTTTTAAAGGCATGGAATACTATAAGAGTTGGTTTTGTCAGTTCCTTCTCCTGAAATATCACCTACAGCACCTGCTGTTCCTTGGTGGCCTCTCATCCAAGTACTCATAAGGGTTGAACATTTAGCTTTCAAGATCCAAACAGAACTGGTACCATTATGTACACCCTCTAGTAATACACACACATATATACACAAACACCACAGACCCATCTCCCATGGATGTTGTGACTCAGCTGGAATCACAGAGTGTCTCTGATGAGGATGATGGGACTCAGGTTCACAGTTTGGTTCAAGATGTCCCTCCCTGTTATAGACATCCCTGTTATAGACAATGAAGAAATGCAGTTTCCCACAGCAAGGCATGAGAGTGTTGATACTGAAAATAGTTAGGTAAAGGTGCAGATTGACTCAGAGAAGGAGGACAGTTCTTAGCCTGATCATGAGCAAGCAGGGAAACAGGCTGACACTAACGAACAGACTGACCTTGACGAAATGGGAACCTTAGATCGGGCTGACCGTTTGGAATTCCGAGTTCGAAGGAGTGAGAGAATAGCTAACAAGAGGGAGGCCAGAGGCCAAAGAAATGCCTTTATGTTTGAGACCAAACCTTTGTCAAAGCAACTTTGTGTTCAACTAAGAAGCTTGCCTTTGCTTGTCTGGATTATCCTACAGTTCTTGTGTTCATAGTTTCAGGACTTTGTCATGTTCTCTTGGGTTTTTGCTTTGCTGGTGCCTTTTTAGATTAAGCTTCAATTGCTTGATCTGTTGAAACATTAACCTTTGCCTTTAAGAACTTTTTACCTTTTATTTTTAATAAACTATAAAGATTTCTGGCTGTGTGCAGTTTGGTATCTTCAGCAAGGTGAATCTACTCTGAGCAGGCATGTAGCCGGGGGGGGGGGGGCTCGGGGCGGGAGCCCCCCCCCGAAATTGTAGCAGGGGGGGAGGGCTTTGGGGGCTCCACCCCCCCCCCCAAATTCTCATGGTGGTCCGCGAGAAGGCCTTACTGGTACATTATTTAAACTGTTATGTTTATTCATATCATGATCTGATCACCATGCTCAATATATCCCATATGCATGGGGGTATTGGGGTAACGATACAAAAGATTTGCTAGGGTAGACCCTCTTTCACTCAGACTCAGCCCCCCCCCCCCGAAACAAAATCCTGGCTACGGGCCTGACTCTGAGGTGCAACAATGGATTCCATCTTATACCAAGGGAGCTCTTTTAGCATCTCCAGAGTGAAATGGAAGCGACATCTTTCTCTGTTTTCAGCAGGGAGAGGAAGAAGATCCCTTCTCTTACAGGTTGGTTTTCTTGGCGTAAGGTGAGAGGTGTTCTCTGGAAGGTCTTTCGCCTTGGAAACAGGAGGGTGCATACCTGAATATCCAAACCTGGGGCTTTCAAACTACCTTATTCTAAGCTTAAGTTTATTATAAGAGGAATTAGAAACAGAAACAATTGCTATCTGAAGTTTATTTTATTTGACTCTGTGTGCAGTAGAGAAGGCATGAAAACAGGGAACTAACCACTTCTGGATAACGTTTCCTTGCTGATAGAAATGATCTCAAGAAAGCAGAAACATGATCCATAAAAAGCTACTGGCTGTAAGTGTTGTTATGTCATAGATGTCACCTGTCAGAATGAGGAACAGAAGGAGAAATTGATTAGGTGTCAAAAAAATGTGTCATGGCTCTTCCTCTCTCTAATACATTAATAAGACTCCCAGAGAGTGCTCACTACTAGCTTTGACTGAAATGCCAGCTGCGCTGCTTCCTAGAACTGAAGGACCTAAAGGTGGTAGTACATGTGTTAGTAACCTCGAGGTTGGACTTGTGCAATGTGTTTTACTTTGGCTAGCTGTGTACCAAGTTCGAAAGCTCCAATTAGTTCAAAACACAACAGACAGACCAGTAACAGGTACATCCAGGAGTGACCATATTACCCTGATACTAAAGTCACTCCATTGGTTGCCAATTAGTTTCCAGGCAAAGTACAAAGTGTTGGTTTTGACATTTAATGTCCTACATGGTTTGGGACCAGATTCCCTACAGGATCACCTTCTCCAATATAATCTGCCCCAAACGCTTAGGTCACCTCCTCCTGACCACCTGGGACACTGTGTCCAATTATGGGCACTGCAATTGAAGCTGGAATGTATCCAGAGGAGGGCGATTAAAATGATCCAGGGTCTGGAGAACAAGCCCTATGAGGAGCGGCTTAAAAAGCTGGGCATGTTTAGCCTGCAGAAGAGAAGACTGAGAGGAAACATGATGAGGCCCATGTATAAATATGTGAGGGGAAGTCACAGGGAGGAGAAAGCAGGCATGTTTTCTGCTGCCCTGGAGACTAGGACATGGAACAATGGCTTCAACCTACAGGAAAGGAGATTCTACTTGAACGTTAGGAAGAACTTCCTAACTGCAGCTAGCTGGGTGTCAGCTGCATTAAGATCACTACTGATCGAAAGGTCATGAGTTCGAAGCCAGCCCGGGTTGGAGTGAGCTTCCAGCCAATTTGTGTAGCTTGTTGTCGACCTTTGCAACCTGAAAGACAGTTGCATCTGTCAAGTAGGAAATTTAGGTACCTCCTATGTGTGGGGAGGCTAATTTAACAAATCTACGAGGCCATAAAAAAATCTCCAGCAAAAGCATGCGGGGAATGGGGAAGTACTTCATCAGTGTTGGAGATGGACAGTGAAGTGACAGCTCCCCTGGCGGCCAGAAAATTGGAATGTTAAATAGCCTCTGATTGTCTGTCTATATGTGTTGTGTTTCTACGGCATTGAATGTTTGCCATGTATGTGTGCATTGTAATCCGCCCTGAGTCCCCTGCGGGGTGAGAAGGGCGGAATATAAATACTGTAAATAAATAATAAACAAATAAACTGTGAGAGCTGTTCAGCAGTGGAACTCTCTGTCCCGGAATGTGCTGGAGACTCCTTCTTTGGAGGCTTTTAAGCAGAGGCTGGATGGCCATCTGTCAGGGGTGCTTTGAATGTGATTGTCCTGCTTTTTGGAAGGGGGTTGGGCTGGATGGCCCATGAGGTCTCTTCCAACTCTATGAATTCATGATTCTATACTCCTCCTCCTCTTCCTTTTCTTCCTCTTCTCCCTCCCTCCCTCCCTAGATAAAAATTAAGGGATAGTTCTCATATAGACTCATGAATAAGTTTGTCCAGGTTTGGGAGGTCCAATTTTTAGACTTATGACTGTATACAGTACCAAACAAATAATCCATTAGTAACAAGCACATCGTCAATTGAATTGTCTAGCATTGAAGTCCAAAAAGATGTTGAGGTCTTTAACTAAGGGAAGATGAATAGCAGGGGTTGTATTAAGTAAATAAACAAAGATAGATTCATACATCTTGCAACCCATTAGGCTGCTGAGGAACGTCAGCGCCGGTAGTCTATTTTGAGAGTCTCCGTGTTTCCATTTTCATCACTCATCTGGACTTCTGCATATGGAGAACAGCAGTCTGACCTATACATTGGGAAAAATATGGGAGATAGGTAAATAAAGGGATCAAGTATTAAGAAGGAAAGAGATGCCAAATTACATTAATTAGACATTACATTAAGTAATATACATTGGCACCACTTTAATGGCCAATGCTGAGAAATCATGGGAATTGTAGTTTGATGAGTCACCAGCATCCTTTGGCAGAGAAGGCTAAAAACCTGATAACATTACAGCTCCCAGGATTCCAGAGCATTGAGCTGTGACAGTGATGTTTAAGTACCTTCATTCTACACCCTGGAAGCAATGAAACTAGAATAAATAAAATCCCTGAAGAAATGTGGTTCAAGATTTAGGGGACATGACCAGATATGCTAGGAACCCAGCCTAGGAGAGAGAATTGTAAACCTTAACTTTCAGCGTAGTCAGAATTAGCAAGGATTTTTGCAAAGCCAAGCCATGCATTTTTGTTTATTGTCTTTGCTGAGCAGATCCTAACCTCAAGAGGGTGCAGTTGGTTAATTTTTAGAAAAGACACCAGTGGGAAGAAGGAATATTTGAAGCAGTTCCTCAGAGTGGGTTGTGAGAGGTATTTATATTACTTTAGTGGTCCCAAAGGACACATATTACCTTTCTCTGGGTGTTGTTTTTCTGTTTTGAACATGTGCTATTTAAAATACCACAATCAGCCAGCAAAAGAGAGATTCACCATCAGAAGAATTTCAACACCTGGAAGCATTAGATTAGTGGATCCATGGGGTCTGTTGCGTCATCTCCACTAGCTGCCAATTTGCTACCAGGCACAATTCAAAGTGCTGGCTTTAGCCTATAAAGCCCTAAACCAGTGGTTCTTAACCTTGGGTCCCCAGATGTTTTTGGCCTACAACTCCCAGAAATCCCAGCCAGTTTACCAGCTGATAGGATTTCTGGGAGTTGAAGGCCAAAAACATCTGGGGACCCCAGGTTGAGAACCACTGCCCTAAACGGTTCTGGCCCAGCTTACTTGTCCGAACGTATCTCCTCCTATGAACCATCTAGGAGCTTAAGATCGTCTAGGGATGCCCTGCTCTCGATCCCACCTGCATTGCAGGCGCGATTGGCGGGGATGAGAGACAGGGCCTTCTCAGTGGTGGCCCCCCAGCTGTGGAACTCCCTTCCCAGAGATATTAAATCGTCCCTCTCCCTCCTGACTTTCTGTAAAAAGGTAAAAACTTGGCTCTTTGAGCAAGCTTATGAGATTGCAGCAGAATAGATAACATGAAACTATAAAAGATGAACATGGAATGGCCAGATTATGTGATTGGAAGATGCTTTAACAGGATGACACCGATGACTATATGTTTTAATGGTTTTTATACATGTTTTATATTGTTATGTTGATAGTTTTAAACTGCATTTTATGAATGCATCGCATCGAATTGTGCCAACCTGTAACTCGCCTTGAGTCACTGTATGGTTGAGAAAGGCAGGTTATAAATATATACACACACACACACACACACACACACACACATATATATGGGAGATATTTAATGCACACATAAAGAAATGCCAGGAAAATACAAGCAATTCAATCAAGGAGGAAGTTTATGAATAATGCTCTTTGGTAGGAAAAGTGGAGCAATAGCACCCTCACCAGTGGCCAGAACTGAGCACAACCTCCAAGATGCCGAAGATAAAAAAGTCTCTATATACCTCTATCTAATAATATTTATATTCCGCCTCAACAAAACAAACAAATGTTAACAAGTAATCCTATAGGATTAAACTTTGAGATCTCTTTTCTCTACTGAGCCTTCAGCTAACTATCTTGTAGCTGCAGAGACTTATTATTGCCTGGTGAGGACTACTCGAGAACCCCAAAGTTGGCATCCCTTTTTGCTTAGTCATTTCAGTGGATCCTAATAAAAAGTATTATGCAACTATACTTTAAAAACAAAATCTTAAGTTAGATTTCTTGAAAACAATAGATGTACATACTGATAGTGGCAGATAACATCTTTGCCGTCGGTTCCTTGGGGGCTGCATGACAGACCGGTGGGGTTTGCATTGACTCGGACAGTGACGGCACTCTCAGTGTCCATAGCAGAAAACCTCATGCGCCAACTGTGTCCAGAACAGACGGGCTTTTGCTGGAGTTTGCGAGTGCAAGGCATGTAGAAGTCTAGCAGCTTGTAGACCGGAGGAGTCTCGTCTGTTTCCTGTTGGTGAGTTAGCAATATTCATGAGTGAGTAGCCCCCGTCAGTGCATATCAATGTCCACACAATATATATTTGAAGAGACTTTGTAAGGTTACTTTTATGTATTAGTAAGGTTAGCCTGCATTGGGGAAAGGACCTTTTGGGCTGTGTTGTGTGTGTGTTCGTTTGCATAGTACTATTTTTAAAAAATTCCAATGCACTGCAGCAGGAAATCTGCTGACCGGAGTGTTGGCAGTTCAAAACCACAAGTCAGGGTTAGTTCTCAGCTGTTAGCCTTAGCTTCTGCCAACCTCGCAGTTCAAAAGCATGCAATGTGAGTAGATCAATAGATACCGCCTCGGTGGGAAGGAAAAAGGGCGCCCCATGCAGACATGCCAGCAACACGATCAAAGATGTCTCTGGACAACAGGCTCCTCAGCATGGAAAAATTGAACAAGAGCACCTCCCCATGGCCAAAGTTGAGCATCGCCTCCAGACACCAGAGATGAAAAGGGGAAGGTCTTTACCTTTGTCTGTGTATTGTATGTTGTTGTTTACTATGTAAAAAGGCATTGAATGTTTGTCTTATATGTGTATACTATAATCTGCTTTTTTGCCACCACATCACATTGTTGGCTCATGTTTAACTTGTTGTCCACGATGACTTCAAGATCTTTTTCACACGTACTGCTCTCGAGCCATGCGTCCCCTATTCTGTATCTTTGCCTTTCGTTGTTTCTGCCTAAGTGGAGTATCTTGCATTTGTCTCTGTTGAATTTCATTTTGTTAGTTTTGGCCCATCTCTCTAATCTGTTAAGATCATTTTGAATTCTGCTCCTGCCTTCTGGAGTATTGGTGATCTCTCCCAATTTGGTGTTGTCTGCAAACTTGGTGATCATGTCTTCTAACCCTAACATGGCAACTTTGTGTGACATAGTTTTTGGGAGACTGAAATTAAGAACCTTTATCTGAATGTAAGGCATTAGCAGTAATCACGAAGACTCAATACAGAGATCAAACTCACCAGGGCTGTCTCAGGAATGACTGTGATGGGCAGCTTCAGGTAGTTCTGGGCTGTTGAGCTCTTTGCAGTGAACGTTGCAATGCTGGAAGAACATGTAAGGGGTTATATGAATAGTGTGTGTGTGTATCCATAGGTGAGGTGTATGTATAAAGTGGCATCTACTGAACCAGGTCACCTAGTACACTCCAGAAACCCAGCTCAAACAGTGTTATCACATCCTAATTCATCAGACTCTAATGCCCTGTCCAGACGATTTTCTCTCTCTCTTCACTGTTAAGTTTTTGCAACCATAAATAGAAATGGCCAGTATGGTTGCTGAGGTGGGTTAGCACTATTTCTTTTTAAATAAAAAGAAAAACCTATTTGCTGCCTTTTACTAATTCAGTTTCCCTTTTTAATAATTGGCTGGGGCTTTCTGTGTGCTGTTAAACTATTGTGCTTTATATCACAGGCAATGAGACACTCTTGTGTATAACAATGTAACAAGGTTTATTTATAACTTCTGGCTCAAATGCTTGTGGTTACATTTTTGTATCTTGTTACAATCTTGAGGCTTACATTCAGTTTCAATTGCTTGGTTAACTTTTCTCAATAAACTTTCAATGTTTCACATACACGAACATGTTACTTCCTTTTATATTCTGAAATTAGGCAACATGGGCCTTCTTTATTTTCCTTAAAACTCAAGATCTATTTATCTAATTGCTTCTCATTATCAGACGTTTCTAACACATCTTCTTAACTACTTATTCCTGACAGGCACTGAAAAACCAACTCTCCTTTTCACACACAGATTCCTAACTGTCATTTTTTAAACTCTCTCACTCTAACTGCCTCTTTCAAAACCCTGGCTCCGCCCTTTGGAATGTTCAGCTCTGCTCTCACCAACTGTCATTTTGGCCTAGCAGCCTTTTCAAATCCTGGGCCTACACTAATCTGCATATGACCAATCGGCTTTACATATGCAAATGATCCTGTCTTCACTGTCGCTACCCTAACTGTACCAATTCTTCCCTATCTGCCACATTGACACATAGAGCTGTACACCAAAAATTTAACATAGAGTAGCAATTTTGCTACAGTTGCCTTGACAATCTAACTTTAGTGTTCAGTGATACACCTTTAAATCTTGTCTAATTCCCTCATAGATGTCCTTCCAAGCAAACTTACCTGGAAGCAAAGCCATTGACTTTTCCAGATGCCATGAAAGTTGCAGTGAGTGTGATGTTTTGCCATTTAGCCAAAGAGCTTGATGCTGGTTTGAAGCTTTTTAGGAAACCCAGGTCATCCAAGACATTGAAAGAGAATGAAGCCGCTGGCCCATCATTCACCACCACGACAGAGAGCTCCAAGGTCTCTCCAGATGACAGCGTCCCTAAGAAAAGCAGAACAGCATGTTCACAAGGTGGGTAGCACAATACTTTGCTTAGACTACAAGATGCCATACTCAGCATGAAGATGCTGGGCGATGGTTGGTTGTTCACACAGTGATCTTTTCGTATCGGCAAAATGGTAAGTGAAATTGCATGCTTCAGTATCAAATTGCAGGGAGATGTGTATGGATTTTCATGAAGTCCACAGGAGATGCATCTCCAAGCCCTCAGTGGATGGTTGTTTCCCCCCCCCCTTTTTTTTCTTTTTGGCAAAAGCCCAGGGTGTTTCAGGCATTGCATATATTTCAGTGACCTTCTTCAGGGGTGCCATAAAATCAAATACAAATAGAAGCGTACAATGAAAAATCAAAAGTACAACATATAATTATACAATATCTAGGAGTGTCTCATTTTCACCAAGGGTCATATCAAACTTGTGGTTGCCTTTAAAATGTCATTTGTAATTGGATGACTATATAAATACAACTATATTGCCCTGGCCTTCAAAGTTTGTTCGGGCAGATAAAATGACATGGTGAGCTGGATTTGGCCTGCGGGCCTTACACATGTGATCTACATAAAACATTATAATGCCAGTTAATTTTGGTATACTGCTTTAACCCTACACAGGGTGAATTCCCCTTATCTGGAAATCTAAATTCCTCCAAAATCCAAACTTTACACACTTGTGGTTGAGACAGTGATATTTTTGGTCAGTATTTTTTTGGTCAGTGTTTACAAAATTTATTTCATTTAACACACAAAATATTGTGTGTAAAATGATCTTCAGGCTATGTGTAGAAAGTGTATATGAAACAGATAGGAAGTTAATGTTTGAACTTGGATCCCATCTCCCAAAGTTCTCAATATGTATAGGCAAATATTCCAAAATCTGAAAAAAAATCCAAAATTCAACATACTTCTGGTCCCAAGCATTTTGAAATCTGACTGCAAATAGTTCCATAGCTGAAAATTTAATTTTTGATGTGGAAACAGAATGAAAGCAACTCAAGAGTTATCCTTTCCCACTCACCATTTTGACCTGGCAAGGGCAAGATCTGGACTGACTCTGTGTTGATGGGTTCAGCGCTCACTCGTGAATAAGGAAGCCCGCCTGGAGAGAGGCCTTCTATGATCAGGAGGGTAGTCTAAAAGTTGACAAAGAAGAAAACTGAAATGTTGCTGAAGATCTTTTACTATGTTCCTGTATACCTTGATGTATGTAAGAAACTGATGAGAAAGACTCTCACCATGATCTATGGTTAGATACCACGTTGGTTGATGGATTTTAGATCAGTTCAGTGGTGAGTCTATTCCAGATTCTAGACCAGATTTCAAAGCAGATAACTGTGGTTCTAAATTTTGTCCTCCAAAACAATGGTCCTCAACCTTTGGTCCTCCTGGTGTTTGGGATCTTAGCTCCCAGAATTCTTGTTAGTTGGCAAAGCTGGGGCTTCTGGGAGTTGAAGTCCCAAGTGGTTGGAAGACCAAAGGCTAGACACACTGTTTCATAACACATTCCATCCATACCCTTGATCACTCTTTTAAAATTTCAGGGGGATTTCCAGTCACCATAATAGGGGCCCATTCAGGCCCCATCTACACTACCATATAGTTTCAGAGTGCAGATTCATAGAATAGAATAGCTTTATTGTCTTTGTACTATTTCACAACAAAATTAAATACCTTCCCCAGCACACACCACAAAAACAACACACTCATCCCTCCACATCTCAACCACCACCACACAGCCCCCAATGCCACATCAATGTGAAACCATGGATTTCAACATAGTCATAGCTCTAGGATAAAGGGTATATTTCAGTCTGTTTGTCCTTGTCTTTGTCACCCTGTACTGTCTGCCAGGTGGCAATACTTAAAAAAAAAAGAATATGCTGGGTGAGATGGATCCTCAAGAACGCTCTGAGCTTTGTTAAGGCTGCTGGACTTAGAAAGTTCTTCCAAAGAAGGGAGAAAGAGGGCAATCAATGATTCTCTGTGCAGTAGTGGTGACCCTTTGGACTTGATTATATGGCATTGCATTTAATTTTATTTATTCATTTATGATATTTCTACCCCGCCTTTCTCAAACCCGAAGGTGACTCAAGGTGGTTTTACAACATAGGCAGTTATTCGATGCCATGGTTAACGAAGCCAGTTGCCTGTCCCTTGTGGACAAGATTAAGAAAGCCACCAGTTGATTCAAACAATGTAAAAATTATAACAAGCATTTAAAAATGTACTTGTTTCGGCTTACAAACAAATTCAACTTAAGAACAAACCTACAGAACCTATCTTGTTTGTAACTTGGGGACTGCCTGTACCACCATTCTTTCTAATATCCTTGATCATAAGCCATTAATTTATCCATCTCTGTGAGCGGGAGCACAAAATACCTGCTTTAATGAAAGTAGTAATTCATCATATCTCTAGTTTCTGGGAAGGAAAGGGCACGTACCGGAGCATTCAAGATAATTGGGGCAACAGCCAAGATGTTGCCAAAGGCATCAGAGGTTTGGGTCAAAGCCACAGAGCCTATGGGGCTCCCTTGACCATTAATGTAGGCCAGGCGGTGGACCTTGGCACCTTTAGCATCTCCCATCACCTTCATGGAGAATGTGTAGTTTGCACCTGAGAAAAAAAAATGCACGAGATTGACAGAGCAACAACTTCCCTATCACTGCCTACTCCATGAAGCGTTTGGATTTTCCTCCTGTTTGCTTTTCAAAGACAGAAAGAAACATGTTTTTTCTGAGCACAATGTTTAGCCAGAGCCCTATTACAATGCACAGTAATGTCTCACTCCTTCGCAGTTGCAAATTTAGACATCTGTTTGCTGGTACGGCTGTACCAGGAGCTCCAGCTTCTTTTTCTTTCTTTGAGTTGTATATTGCTGTTTTATTAATTTGTTAATTCCAAGGTTCCATGCATTTTGCAATAAGGTGGCTTCCCTTGGTTTGCAAGTATAGGACCAATGACCCATCAATCATCATTGGTTTTTTTAGTTCTGCCCCTTTCCCCAGGGTTCAAGAAGGAAAGGGAACCATTTTAGCTCAGTCTTACAGTTGAAAGCTTAGCTACAGGACGTGAATCAGCTCCACCTGTAGAGAAGCTTCATTATGAAATTCCGGGGGGAAACAGTTCCAAAGGACTCCAGCTGGAGAATCTACAAAGCCTTGACTGGTAGGTCTACTTGGGACCCAAGAAGCAGTTTGAAGCCGGGAGTAGAGCCCACACGAGCAAAGTTTAGAAAGTAGATTGCCCAAGGAGGAGTTAAAAAGGGTTTTCCTCTTAAAGAAAAGAAACAGTTCACGAAGCCAGTTGCCTGTCCCTTGTGGACAAGATTAAGAAAGCCACCAATTGATTCAAAGCCTTGAAGTATTTGTTTGACCTTATGAAGATCTGAGAAGTATTTGATTGTTTGTTGAAGACCTAAGCAATAATAAAGGACTTTGTTAAACTTTTCAAGCTTCTAAACTCTGTATAGGAAAATCCTTAGGGCCTCTCACTCGAGGCACCCCGGCTTCCCGCTGGGCACAAAGAGCACGTCCTGTTCAAAAACCAACTGCTATAGGCCAAGCGCATGACAGCACAATCTGTAAATTTGATTAGTCACAGATTTCCTAACATCTGGTAAAGTAGCTGGGATTTCTGGGTGCTGAAGTCCAAAACACCTGAAGGCCCAAAGGTTGGGAACCACTGTGAGGATCTAGAGAAGAGGTGTCAAACTTGTGGCTCTCCAGATGTTTGGATCTCAAACTCCCAGAAGCCCTAGGCAGCTTGTCCAATAGCTAGGAATTCTGGGAGCGGAAGTCCAAAACACTTGGAGAACTACAAGTTTGACACTACTGAGGTAGCAATTCCTAATTAGGTATTCCCTTAGGTTAAAATACAATCACTTTTTAAATTCGCTTTTGTGGGAATCCCACATCCCTAAACCCTGAAAATCTGGAGATATTTCAAAGCTCTAAAAGGCACTATTCTTCCTTCAATGAGGGAGAAACATGCCTCTTACCTCTCACAGGTCGTCCTTGGATAGGGAGCACATACTCTTTCTGCTTTTGCATAATCTGGTAGGAAAAGTCCAGCAAGCTCTTGCCCCCAATTTCCACCTCATAGGAGCCACTGGGAGAGACCCTCACAGTCCAAGAACCCCTGTCATTGATAGGAGATATCTTCACAATCTTGTGGTTGGCTGTGTTGATTATAACACTGGAGGGTGATGTGGCACCTGCCGTGGGATGACACAAGAGGTGGATAGAGTTAGAGGATAGACGTTCAGATGGCAAGTGACCCAAGGGTTGTTGTGCCCCACTATCCCTTTGCAGCGAAGGCCCTCCTTCAGCCATTGCATCACAGGCCAACATACCTGAAGGCTTCAACACAGTGATGCTGAATGCAGAGGAGCTTGAGCTCTTGACGGAGACAGTGATTTCTGTGATGGTCTCATCGACAGGGAAGGAGAGCTGCGTCCCAGTTATGAGACTGTGAACAATTTTCACTGGGGCAGCATTTAGGGAGAGCTCCATTACACCTAGGATCTGCGAGAGCTGTTTTTTCGTGGTTATTGCATAGTAGCCACCAGTATAAGCAGCTAGCTCTTCGTAGATATTACTGTAAGTTCTGGCAGCAATACCTGTGGAGATTTTTTTGCTTATTATTCTATTTTAAAAGGTTTACTTACTAATTTCAAAACATTTCACATACTGCAGTTGTCTTGTTACACCATCTGTTCGCACATCTACACTCCCCCTACCCTTACTACATCATTACCCAGTTTGAACTGCATTATATGGCTAGTGTAAACTCATGGCAGACCCCCATCTGTGGAACATACTCCCTAATACAATCAGGTCAGCCCCCTCTCTCCTACCCTTTAGGAAAAAGCTTAAGTCATGGTTATGGGACCAAGCATTTGAGCAGCAGACACAGCAATAAGAATAACGATTTATGTGATTGACACTGGACAAACCTTGGATTATGACTCTGGATTTGGATTTAACTTGTAAATGGATGTTTATAATTTGTTGTTTTAAACTAATTGTGATTATATTGCTACTGTTTGTTTAGCTGGTGGTTGTGAGCCGCCTGGTCCCCCACTATAAATGTCTGAAATAATAAATAATAATATAATGCAGATTGAATTGCATTGAGTCTACACTGCCACATGATCCAGTTCAATCTGCATCATAGTGGCAGTGTGACAAAAACCTAATTGGTTTTGTTTTAACACGAGTGTTTGTGGATGTGAACCTACTTCTTCAGATACTTTAGGCTCCAATTAAAGAGGTGGGATAATATTAGGATTAGATATTAGGAATAATAATAACAACTTTTATTTTTGTACCCTGCCTCCAACTCCCTGAAGGGACTTGGGCTGGCTTACATGGGTCAACACAGTTAAAATCATAGAATCATAGAGTTGGAAGAGACCTCATGGGCCATCCAGTCCAACCCCCTGCCAAGAATCAGGAATATTGCATTCAAAGCACCCCTGACAGATGGCCATCCAGTCTCTGTTTAAAAGCTTCCAAAGAGGGAGCCTCCACCACACTCCGAGGCAGAGAGTTCCACTGCTGAACGGCTCTCACAGTCAGGAAGTTCTTCCTCATGTTCAGATGGAATCTCCTTGTGTTTTAACACATTTAATTTTAATGTGTTTTAACAAATTAATAAAACAGCAATATACAATAAAAACAAACAAACAAACAAACAAGAGTATAAAGTACTATAAAAGCAACCATCATAAATATCCAGTAGTCTGAAGTAGCAAAACAATTCTGGACTCGGACGGGTGGGAGCTGAAACAAATAGTTGTGGGGGAAGGGCTGATAGTTAAAGTGCAAGTACCAGATGACAAAACTGGGGATAAAGCACAATATGGTGTGGGACACTACATCTCTGGGCAGGGGACAATAGTAAAGTGCAGGGACTGGATTTTGGGTCATAGCTAGAGCCCAAAATTTTGGGGAACCATCTAATCAAAAGCACAGTGGAACATCCGTTTTTAGATGTTTGCAAAAGATGGACAAGGTGGGAGCCAGCCTAATCTCTCTGTAGAGAGAATTCCAGAGCCGGGGGGCCACCGCCGAGAAGGTCCTCTTTCTCGTCCCCACCAAACCCGCCTGAGATGGAGGTGAGAGCAAGAGGAGAGCCTCTCCAGAGATCTTAGAGATCGTGCAGGTTCTTAGGGGAAGATGCGATCATGAAGATAGGCAGATTCCAAACTTGCCTATTGACAAGAGAATGGCACAAAACAAAGGAAAAAGTCCTATGAACGAGATTGACAATTGGCCTCTGGTCCTGCCATACAGCCCTGCAGTAAACTGACTAAAGGCCCTTTCATGCTACACAATTATAGTACTTTGATTCTATTTTGGCTAAAATTAAATTAAAATTTTAAAATTGCAGGCGTGATATTTTAGTTTCAGGATTAAGTATTATAGGCCAATGTTTCGAGTTATTTATGTTTCTTTCCCAATTAGTAAGAATTGATTTAAGTCTCCATTCATTTCTATCCCAGATGGATCTACATTGCCATATAATCCAAATTATTAAAGCTGATAATGGGTAACACTTTTTATTGGGACCACTAGAGTAATATCAATATCTCTCACAAACCACTCTGAGGAATTGCTTCAAGTGTTCCCTCTGGTCTCTTCAATTTAGGCTAGATCTATGCTTCCATATAATCCAGTTTCTGATCCCAAATTATCTGCTTTGGATTATATGGCAGTGTAGACTCATATAATACTGATATTGTACTATGCTAATAATATAATACATTGTATGTGTATATATCTTGTAAGCCACTCTGAGTCCCCTTCGGGGTGAGAACCGTGGCATATAAATGTAGTGAATAAATAAATAAATATTAAAGTTCAGATAATCAAAGCAGATAACCTGAGGCTGGAGCTACACTGCCGTATGATCTCTAGATTATCAAAACAAATATTCCAGATGATCTGCTTTGGAGTATATGAGTCTACATTGACATATAATCCACTTCAAAGCAGATCATCTGGATTTTATATGGCAGTGTTGATGGGGCCTCAGATTATTGTCTTCTAGAGTTCTCTGCCAGGATTCACTTACTTCTCCGTTTGCGGCTGGAACAGTATCCGGTGAGGAGATAGCTCACTGTAGATCCAGTCGAATCCCCCAGGACTTTGATTTCATCCTTCAGTGATGCATCTTTCGCCCCAGCATCAGTAAAGGAGAAGATTTTTGACCTGGAAAAGGTGAAATAGACCCAAACAGTCACTCATTATTGTTGTGTGGTTACAACCTCTGCAGATGCCTGCCATAGATGCAGGCGAAACATCAGGAGAGATGTCAGGAGAGACATGGCCATACAGCCCGAAAAACCTACAACAACCCAAACAGGGTACTGTTCTGTTATCTGGGCGGAGGCCACAACAGGGCACTAGAGACAGAAGGATAGTCCATTTTACGGGGATAGAGGGTGGATTGAAGGAGGAAATCATGTCCCCATGTTATTCTCCTCACCCATGTCACCATCATGGAACCAATTTTCATTCATGACATGGGAAGTGGGGAGGGGGAACAACCAGAAAAAACTTGGAAATTGTTTTCCTCCTTCAAACCTCCCCCCCACCATAAAATGGACTATCCTTCTCTCTCTAGTGCCCCCTAGTGGCCTCCACCCGGCTAATGGAACAGCATCGAAAATAGGATCACAGTGTCTATACTGAGTATCTATATCAGGGGTCTTCAAATTATTCAAACAGAGGGCCAGGTCACAGTCCTTCAAACTGTTGGAGGGCCGGATTATAATTTGAAAAAAAAAACATGAATGAATTCCTGTGCACACTGCACATATCTTATTTGTAGTGCAAAAACACTTTAAAACAATACAATAATTAAAACTAAGAACAATTTTAACAAATATAAACTTATTAGTATTTCAGTGGGAAGTGTGGGCCTGCTTTTGGCTGATGAGATAGGATTGTTGTTGTTGTTGTTGTTGTGTGCCTTCAAGTCGTTTCAGACTTAGGTTGACCCTGAGTGAGGACTGGGTAAATGACCTTGGAGGGTCGTATCAAGCCCTCGGGCCTTAGTTTGAGGACCCCTGATCTATATTATGCATCATAATATTCTTCTCTATTCTGCTTTGGTTGGACCTCACCTGGAATAACACTGTGTCCATTTCTAGGCACCACAATTCAAGGAGCTTGTCAAATTGGAACATGGTGCACCTATGGAAGTGTGCTTGAGGCTAGACTAGACCCTTTGGGTTTTATGACTTCCCTTCAAAACCATCTGGAAGGTTTCCCAAACTGGTCACCTCACTGGTCAGTTGCCTCCACGACCTCTCATGCATGGTCTTCAGTAAAGCTGACTCTCATAATATAACTCTAAACCCAACATCTCATCAACCCTTTCTTTCCTGGAAAAAGAGCATGCTTCCAAGCTGTATTGCTCAAATAATGGGAGGAACCCACTATCACCGGAGACTAAGATCAGATCTACAACAGGAAGAATGAATAAGGTTTGCTGGGAAGCAGAGAAAGGAAAGGGAAACATTACCTTGGCAAGCTCTCTTGTAGTGCTAGTTTCAAACCACCTAATGACATCTCTGGGCAATCACCACCCCCATGAACTTTGAGGTTAGAGATGTAGGATGAAAACACATCCACTTTATCGGTCTTCATGACTGGTCCAACGACTGCCAAGAGAGACATGAGCGAGAGAAATGCAAGCATGAAGGACTGTTAGCGATGGCTGAAAATATAATTTATTTAGCGGGATTTGTTTCTGTGCTTTTGTAGCACCATGGAATCGTAGTGTTAGAAGAGACCATAAGGGACATCCAGTCCAACCAGATGATTTGGAAGCTGGCAATAGTTAAAAGTAAATCTAATATTGCAATGCACACATTACAAAGTAGAGAGGGTAAGGCTGACAGTCTATATGAGCGAATTCAAATAAAGTTATACAAACTGCAGTGTGGGTTGATCTAGCAGTGCTCATGACCATAGCCAAGATCTTGCTTTAATGTGAAATCAGAAGCATGCCTTATATGATATACACTTATCCAACATAAATGGGGCGGATGTTGGATAATAAGGAGGGACTAAGGAAAAGCCTACTAAACATAAAATTACTTTATGATTTTACAAATTGAGCTCCAAAACATCATGTTTTACAACAAATCGTCAGAAAAAGCAGTTCAGTACATGGTAATGTATAATAATATAATTATATAATAATGTATATTATTATAATTTAATAATTTTAATTATAACAAATTATTATAATTAATTGGATAATGTTTTTAATAGGAGACCTTAATGTTTATGTTTTTATTGATTTTGTTATGGTTTTATTATCCGAATGTTTTTATTGTATTGAAATTGTATTTTATGGTCTTGGCACCAATTGTAAACCACCCCGAGTTGCCTGAGGGCTGAGAGGGACAGTATATAAATATAGTAAATAATAAATAAATAATTCTGCTAATAATTTAATATATAATAATGATGTATATTATTATAATTTAATAATGTACAATATTACTTATAATAATATAATAATTATATTATTCTGCTATAATATAATATATTGTAAATTATATTATATATTTTATATTACATGTAATGTTATATAGCACATGTAATGTGGTATAGTACAATATAGTAATATATAATACTAATATTGTGCTATGCTAATACTATATATTGTATGTATTGTCGCTTTCATGGCTGGAATCACTAGGTTCTTGTGGGTTTTTTCGGGCCATAGGGCCATGTTCTAGAGGCATTTCTCCTGACGTTTTGCCTACATGAACATACATATATATTGTATGTTCATATAACTTGTAAGCCACTCTGAGTCCCCTTTGGGGTGAGAGATTGGCATATAAATATCACAAATAAATAAATAAATAATGTTATGTAGTATTTACTGTATTTACTAATTTAGCACCAAAACTTTGCAATGTATTGATAACATTGACTTCCTAGAGAAACATCTGTGGATCCGGGTGGGAGGCAGACTGTGCTGGATAAGCGAAGGTTGGATAAGCCAGTCTATCTACTGTATATCCCCTGTAACTTTGATTAGAAGCTTCCTTTCGCACCCTCTGCATTCATAATCTTACAGACTCAAGAAACAGCACTGCTCAACAGTTATTGAGGCTCCATTCAGACTGCCATATAATCCAGTTTCTGAATCCGGATTTTCTGATTTGAACTGGATCATATGGCTGTGTAGACTCATATAATCCAGTTCAAATCAGGTAATCAGGAAACTGGATTATATGACAATGTAGATCTAGCCCTAGCTTGCCACCCTTTGTTCCCTGACCAGAATACACTTATCTGACCAGAATACACTTATCTGATACTGAAACTAGAACTGGGAAATGCAATTAATAAAAATGTTTCTGAACAGCAGCTTTGTCTTGTAATAGAAGACTGGATCTATCTCAAGCACCCTCTCTCTGCAGAAAAGAAGAATTTAACAAGCAAGACACATTTAAGTCACATTTATCAAAAATGGTATCATTATTGAAGATGAGATCATTAGAGATGCCATAGAAAACCAACTTTTGCCTTTGAAATGCAATTGAAATATCTAGATTGAGATAATTTTCATTTTTTTAAAAAAATACTAACATTTCACCACAAACGAGGAAGAATGTGGACTTATCATTTCTTGGCATGGCTATCCAGTGAAATGAAACATTATTTTCCCATTTTCCTGTGATATTTTACACTGCTTTAATCTTTCTTCTGTCTTCATGGTTTTTTAATTCTTCAATTTTTTTTGTCGTGTCAGGAGCAACTTTTTTTTTTGTCATGTCAGGAGTGACTTGAGAAACTGCAAGTCGCTTCTGGTGTGAGAGAATTGGCCGTCTGCAAGGATGTTGCCCAGGGGACGCCTGGATGATTTGATGTTTTATCATCCTTGTGGGAGCCTTCCCTCATGTCCCTGCATGAGGAGCTGGAGCTGATAGAGGGAGCTCACCCGCCTCTCCCCGGATTCGAACCTGTGACCTGTCGGTCTTCAGTCCTGCCGGCACAGGGGTTTAACCCACTGCGCCACCGGGGGGTCCTGGTTTCTTCAAATACACAAATTCTTCAAATACACAAAGCAGACAGATTGGCTACAGTGGGGTTAGATTCCTCATCAACACTGAGTGATCAAAGAATGGCAATTTCAAACTACATAGGCAAGTGAGGCTATTTCTTTTGGTTTCTTTCTCACCTGGGTCATTGAAGGGCACGAGGATGTAGTTAAAGGGTGCATCAGAAGAGGTAGAATACTCTCGAAGCTTTTTAATGCACTCAGTTTTGACCTGTTCGATGTCATCTGACATACTGCCGGTTGTGTCTATTACAAAGGTGACGGAATAACCTTCCAAGTTGAAAAACTTCTTGAAAGTCTCAATGCCAACCTGGTTTAGAAGTCCGTATCCTATGCAAATACAGAGCAAAATCAGAGTATGTTTATGTTGCAGGTATAGTGGTTTGCGCCTTGGACTATGACTCTGGAGACCAGGGTTCCTCAATCAGCCATGAAAACCCACTTGGTGACACTGGGCATGTTACACACTCCCAGATCGATAAAATCTGTGACAGTGACAGTGCTGTAGATTGCATTTGTGTTTTCTCAAAAAGGGGCTGGAACACCCCTTGGGTTCCCTTTCACTTGAGGGAAAACAGAGAGGTATATGTTGTCTGAACAGTCAGGGTCAGCTGCTGAGAACAAAGAACTTAAAAGAGAAGGACCTAAGGACCCATCTACACTGCCATTTATTTATTTATTATTTACAGTATTTATATTCCGCCCTTCTCTCCCTGCAGGGGACTCAGGGCGGATCACAATGCACATACATAAGGCAAACATTCAATGCCATAGATACACAACATATATAGACAGATACACAGAGGCTATTTAACTTTCCAGCTTCATGAGGGTATGCTTTGAATTCCAGCCACCGGGGGAGCTGTCGTTTCACCGTCCACTTGTGACACTGACGGAGTACTTCCTTATTTTTTTGCATGCTGCTGGAGAGTTTTATGACATCATAAATTAATTAAATTAGCCTGCCCACATAAGCGGTCCCTAAATTTCCTACTTGACAGATGCAACTGTTTTTCAGGCTGAAAAGGTCTACAGCAAGCTAGACAAATGGTCAGGAGCTTACTCCAACCCAAGCTGGCTTCGAACTCATGAACTCAGTAGTGATTTTAATGCATCTGACTCCCAATCAACTGCGTCACAACCCAGTCCAGTAATTGATCACAGATTATCTGCTTTAAACTGGATTACATGGCAGTGTAGACTCACTCATAAGAACACTGGTATTGTAGAATGGTATAATGGAGGAAAGGAAAGCATGGGAAAGACAGATCATGGCAAGGGGGCTGTGATCCTGAATATGAATCTGAAGTCTTTCCTTATAGGGGCCCAAAACTCCCCCACTCCCCCCCCCAATTGGAAGAGGTCCATAGAAATCTTGGCTTTCAATATTGAACTATAGCTCGATTCCTAGTTTTGCTTTTCTGTGATTTTGACGTTTTCAAAAAGCAACCGCATTATGAGTCATTACAAATTTTGTAAAAGGAATTGCAAAGGAGTCCACTACAAGCCGGCACCAAATTGTAAAAGGCTTCTGTATTAATACCACTGGATGCCACCNCGGCTGCACTAGCCTGAGAAACTTCCAATAGCCAAACCCAGCTTTTCAAAGCCTCAAAGTTTTGCTTCACAATCAGAATCTGGGTTGTTGAAGGCTTTCATGGCTGGAATCACTGGGTTGCTGGGAGTTTTCTGGGCTGTATGGCCACGTTCCAGAAGCATTATCTCCTGACGTCTCACCCACATCTATGGCAGGTATCTTCAGAGGTTGTGAAGTTGTCACATAGATGTGGGCGAAATGTCAGGAGAGAATGCTTCTGGAACATGGCCATACAGCCCAGAAAGCTCCCAACAACCCAGAAATCAGAATAGTTTTTCAGTATTGACTCAATCTGTGGGTTGACCTAACATTATCTGATAAGGTTGTTTTTTTGTTAAATTTCCAAAACACCCCATGTGCAAAAGGGTAATGTAACATTTGGCCTCTTGAGCAAGTGGCCCTGTACACAAGATGCTGTTTACCCAAGACGTTTCCATCAGACACAATCAAGATTACCTAACGGGGGTTTGCAACTAACTGTTGCGAATGCCCCACCTTGCGACAGGTATTGCTTTCCAAAGAAACAAACCTAAGGCAAGAGAGGTGAAATGTCAACTGTGGAAATGGAGGGGAGGGGCGAAAAAAAGAGTTGTAACTGACACATATGTGTGGAACCTGTAATACTCGGGGGGAAACAGCACACTGTTTTCTTTCCTTTCCTTCTCTCCCACCTTTCCTTTCCTTCTCTCCCAACTCCTAACTCCTCACTCCTCTAAACCTAACTCCTGACTGCTCACTCCCCTAAACCTAAACCCTAACTGATTTTTAACTGTCGTTTGTTCAAACTCTCCCCGCTAAGCTCCTCCCACTTCCCTCTCTCCAGCATCGGTCTCCATGGCAACGCCCATGGAGGACTCCTCTGACTTAGGCCGCTCCAGCATTACTGCAGCCAATCTAAACACAAATACAGTTAAAATCATACAATTTATAATCAACTCCTGTACACCTTCCCCCACAGAAAAATTATTTTTGGGCCATTCTCACTCCCGGAATGGGCAAAAATAATTCCACAAATTATCCAACAATATCTAAATACACAATATTTCTGAAAGGCAATCACAATATGGTTAAATATATTATAATGCATATATACAAACCTTTTACCATACGAAATTCTAGATAAGGCGTCTGCGACTATGTTTCGTTTACCTGAAGCATGTTTAATTTCAAATGTAAAATCCTGTAAACATAAACTCCATCTCAATAATTTGTTATTCGTACCTTTTACATTATCTAGCCATCTTAATGGAGCATGGTCCGTTTGTAAGGTAAACTTTCTCCCCCACAAATATGGCTTTAATTTTTTTACTGACCATATGATGGCATAGCATTCTTTTTCAATCATTGACATGTTATATTCATTGGAATGCCATTTTTTACTCAAAAACAAAATAGGTCTGTCCTCACCCTCTACATCTAACTGGCTTAGGACAGCTCCTAGCCCAGTATCCGATGCATCACATGTTAGAATAAAAGGTTTATCAAAATCTGGCGCAATTAGGACCGAATCCGAAGTAATGGCTTTCTTCAATTGATCCATGGCAGTTTGACAATTTGGAGTCCAAATTACCTGATTCGGGTTCTTCTTTTTGGTAAGATCCGAAAGAGGGGCTGCCAAATCACTAAAAGATGGAATGAATTTACGATAGTATCCAGCCAATCCAAGGAGTGCCCTAACCTGTTTTTTTGTTTTGGGCACAGGCCACTGGTGAATAACTGCCACTTTAGTAGGGTCAGGTCAAATACAACCTCCTCCCACTAAATGTCCTAAATACTTGGTAGTATTGTATCCTAACTTGCACTTGGAAGCTTTAATAGTTAACCCTGCTTCCCTCAACCTACTTAATACCAGATCCAAATGTTCAAGGTGAGCTTCCCATGAATCACTGAAAATCCCTATATCATCGATATAGGCCACGCAGAAAGACCCCAGCCCACTTAAAACTCTGTCCACTAATCTCTGAAATGTGGCTGGGCTGTTCTTTAACCCAAATGGAAGTACGGAAAATTCAAATAGCCGATTTTGGGTCCGGAAGGCGGTTTTATGTTGATCCTGTGGTGCCATGGGCACTTGCCAAAATCCTTTGGTTAGATCTATACTACTAATAAAATTGGCCTTCCCCATCCTTTCCAGCAAATCATTCAAACATGGCATAGGATAAGTATCTGTTTGGGTTACCTTGTTTAATTGCCTATAATCTACACAAAATCTAATTGTCTTGTCTGGCTTCTGTACTAATACTATGGGTGAAGCCCAAGAGCTAATCGATGGAACAATGATACCTAGGTCCAACATTTCTTTAATCTCCCTTTCAATACATTCATTGGGTCTCCCTGTGACCCTGTAGGGTGGACATACTATAGGAGCTACATCACCGGTGTTTATTTGATGCTGGACTCCCTGGACCTTTCCTGGTAAATCTGAAAATATATCTTTATATTTACTCAAAATTTCCACAACCTCTCTTCGCTGTGGTTGGGACAATTCACTGTTTATTTCTACCCGATCCAAATTTTTGTATTGTTCACGATCACCCTCCCAAAAAGAAAAGGGACCGGATTCTTCTTCCGAAACAACAAAATAAACATTAGCAGACCTTCTAACATAAGGCTTTAACATGTTTACATGAACTCTTCTTTCCACATTTGAATGTTCATCATAAATATCATAGTTTATTTGATTGTGTTTCCTGGTGATCTTCCAGGGTCCCGACCAATCTAATTGCAGTTTGTTGGTTTTGTTGGGAGATAAAAACAAAACTTCATCTCCGATGTTGAAGATCTTTGGCTTAGCAGTAGAATCATAATAGTCTTTTTGTCTTTGCTGAGCTGCAAGCAAATGTTCTTGTGCAATGTCCCTAGCCAGTTGCATTGTTGATTGAAGATCCTTTAGGTACTCCGACACTGGAACTGGATCTGTTGCTGGATTTTCCTCCTAGTATTCCTTTATCAGGTCTAATGGACCATGAGCTTTCCTTCCATATAGCAATTCAAGCGGACTGTAGCCAGTACTGTCATGAGGGACGGTCCTGTAGGTGAATAACAGTTGTTGTACTTTGACGTCCCAGTCGTATGGCTTCTTTTGACTGTAAGACTTTATCATTTTGACTAAAGTCTTGTTCAGATTTTCAACTAGTCCATTTGTCTGTGGGTGATAAGCTGTTGAAGTCAGGTGTCTGATTCCACATAACTCAAGCAATTTTGACATAAGTCTGGAAGTAAATTGAGTTCCCAAATCAGAAACCAATTCTCTAGGATAACCAGTTCTTCCCCAAATGGATAACAGTGCATTTGCAATCGTTGTTGTCTCAATGTTAGTTAGAGCTACAGCCTCTGGATATCTTGTGGCGTAGTCAATCATGGTTAGAATGTATCTGTAACCACGTCTGCTTGGCTTACAAAGAGGACCAACTATGTCAATGCCCACTCTGTAAAATGGTTCTGCAATTACCGGCATAGGGATCATAGGAGCTTTAATTTTATCCCTTCCAGTACTCAATCTTTGGCAGATATCACAAGACTGGCAAAACTCTTTGATCTTCTGGAACATGCCAGGCCAATAAAAGTTTTTAGTGATCCTCTTTGTGGTTTTCCTCACGCCCAGATGACCACCGTGAGGGTTCTCGTGTGTCGCCCTCATCAGCTGTTCTCTAAAACTTTGAGGCACTACAATCTGATTACATGTCATTGATCCTTCTGTTGACTTCATGTTTCTGGTTTCTCTATACAAGACACCATTCTTTAACACAAACTTGGAGGGCTGCCCTTTTGCTGATACTGTGAGGTTTTGAGCCAAAGCGAACAAAGGTTTTAGAAATTCATCTGCTCTTTGTTCCTGTTGAATTTCTCTGACTCCTCCTGTCTTCTTAATAAGCTCAGCAACCATAGTGCTGGATTCTGGATTCTCATCCCCCTCCTGTTGTATGGCGAAACACATGGCTTTTTGATCAGGGCTTTTGCTGTTATATTCTTCCTCCTCACACATCATTCTCCACTTTCCAATCTTTTTAGCCAGATCATTTCCAATTAAACACCTGTATGGTATGTCTGGACTGACTGCAAAATCCCACATACCCTTCCAACCTCCATATTCTATTGGCAAAGACACTACTGCTGTTGGTATTGCAGGTCCCAAGCCTTTTAATCTTATTTCAGAGGTAGGATGCTGAAATTTCTGAGGTATTATATCTGGATGTATAATACACACATCAGATCCTGTGTCCCGCCACCCTCTCATGTCTTTGTTGTCAATGGAAATGGATTCTAAGTAATCCTCAGTTGCGGTGTTTGACAAAATGAACAAACATTGTTTCTCTTGAGGCACCGTTTCCGAACTCTCCTTTGACACAGTATTTGGTTCTGTTTTCTTTGTTTCTTTTACTTTATTAACGAAGAGGGTTGTCTTTTCTTTTCTTAAAAGGGGACATTGATACCTTATATGATCCCACTTTCCACACTGAAAACACCTAATTTTTCCCTCAGGAGCAGTTTGACTTGTTACACTCTGCCTCCTCCAGGAGGGGTTTTCTATTGCAGGACCTTTTCCTTGTTGTGGGCGCGTTTGATGTTGGTAAAATGGCTGCCTGTTTGTCCTTTTATCATTTGGCAGATCTTCCCTTTTGAATCCTTCTTTTAGGGTAATTAATTGATCTACCATAACCGCTGCCTCTACTACAGTGGATGGCTTTCGATCCTGTACCAGCCACCGAAAATCGGAAGGTATCAATTGGAAAAATTGTTCCAATTTTAAAAGTTCTCTCAGTTGTTGGTAATTTTCCACCTCAGACGTCCTTAGCCAACTATCGAACAGTTGAGACAATCTAGAGGCCACCTGAGCGAAACTTTGGTTCTTATCTCTTTTCAGAGTCCTGAACTTGAATCTGTAAAATTCAGGTGTTAATTGAAATTTCTGTTGAACCTGTCTCTTAAATAAATCATAATCCCCATAGGACTCCTCAGGCATTTCTCCATATATTTCTAAGAGCTTTCCACTTATTTGAGGCCTTAAGTACGTCATCCATTTTTCCTCAGCAACTCCAAAATCTTTACAACATCGCTCAAACAAGGTTAGAAACTTCTCTATATCGTCATCCTTAGTAAATTTAGGAAATACTAGGTTCTTGTAGGTTTTTTCGAGCTATAGGGCCATGTTCTAGAGGCATTTCTCCTGACGTTTCGCCTGCATCTATGGCAAGCATCCTCAGAGGAAGTGAGGGGGGGTGGTGGGCTAATTTTTTGCTTTTGCAGTTCAATTTCCATTCTCCTCAATTCTATCTCCTGTTCTCTCTCTTTTTGTCTTTCCTCAAACTCTCTTTCCCTTTGTTTTGCCTCTATTTCCAATCGTTTCATCTCTAGTCTGTGCCATTTCTGACACAGACACTGGCTCTGTTTCTGCTTCAGAGCCCAAACTTCCTTCTTGGTCTCCCATTGTTTCCTCAACAAGTTTTTTCTGTCATCTGGTAGCCATATTTCAATAACTTTTACCTCACAAATTATTCTCAAAGTAGTCTTAAGGCACTCAATCAGTTGTTAATCGTATCCCGTCGTCTGCCACCAATTTGAAAAGAAGCAGGGGAGCTGGGGGATGATTTATTGTTGCCACCAATTTGAAAGGAACCAGTATTCAGGAGATTTTTCCCCAGTTCCCAATTTTAAAAAGACTTAGCCGACTTGCAATGGAGGTTGCCGATTAGGAACCAAATTTACCATCAAGTTAGAAGGGAGGCTGTTCAATTGCACCTCCTCCTTTATTAAGAAAGTAATAACTTAGTAATAATTACACTGTATATACTGTAGCGTGACTGGAGAGAAGAATGTAGATTTATTTGGTTACTTTTCCCTACGTTTCTGCCACCACGTGAGGTAAGTTGTAATATTGTGAGAAATTGCACTTTGGACTCAGAATAGACGGAGCTGAGGCAATCTTTAAATAAAAGTTAACAATTTTATTAAGTACACAGCGTGTGGTTGCAAGATGTAACTTTTCCTTGTTGCACTTG